AGCCCAGACGGACAAACAACAAACTTTAAACAGGATTAGCATAATCACCTTTTTTTAGTTCCAGTTGGACAAATACAGTAAGTTTGAATTCTACTCACAGGCAAAGTGTAATTTCTTGATACAGTTACATGCATTCAGTGTTCATATAGAAAGGTCATGTCACTTTCCACATCTAGTTGGTTTTGACTTTTTAGACTTGCTCGTATCAGGCTGTCTTCTGAGGCCTCATGGTGAGAACAGGCTCATTTGGGGTACACGGAGGTCATCATTGTAGTTACTGAATTAGTACAGTCCAAGAGGTTTGTTTGTTAATTTTCTATATGGTTATTGTCTTAGTTACTTTTATCTCTCTTGTTGCTGAGTCGAAATACCCAATGCCCAAAATTAAGGAAGGAAAGATTGATTTAGCTCATAGTTGTAGAGGTTTCAGTCCATAATCAGCTGGCTCCAAGGCAGGATGGCATGGCACAGGGGCAACAGTTCAAGATGGCAGAAAACAGCAAGAGCAACAAGAGCAAGATGGGGGGGCAAACCTCTTTTCCTCCGTTATATTGTAAGCAGGCAACCTGCCCTAGGTGGGTGTAGCACTCACACCATCTCTGTGCCCTCCTCTTGCACAGGCTCAGGATGTTTACAAAGTGAGGACCCTGGCCCCCTGCTGAGTTATTTAGTTAAGCTTCTATACTTCTCAAGTTGACACGGTGTATTAGCCATTACAGTTATAGATAAGATTTTACCTTTAACGTGTTTTAATTATGAAATAACAAGAGATGTGTCTAAGACATAAATGTACGGTTAATGTAATAATTGATTATAAAATATAACCCCATGTAATAACAGTCACCAAGGACCCCTCTGTTCTTTCCAGATCACAACTCCCAAGAGGAAACTGCTGTCTTGCTGTTGTGATTCATCTCTTCCTTCTTTTCTTTTTCTTTTTTGGTTTTTTGAAGCAGAGTCTCACTGTGTAGTTAGGACAGGCTGGCCTTGCACTTGCTTATGTAGCTCAAGCTGGCCTTCTGCAGTGATCCTCCTGCCTCAGCCTCCTGAGCGTTGGGATTATAGGTGTTCGCCACCAATCTGACTCTTCCTTCCTTTTCTAAAATCTTATTGTCCCTAAACACCTTCCCCTACTTTTGAACTTTATATACAAAAACAGTAATACTATATGTGTTTTATGTCTTTAGAAAAACAGCATGGACTAATTTGTAGAATCCATTTAGTTATTGCACAGGACTGTAGTTCTTATGTTTTCATTGCCATATAGAATTCTGTTACGGGAATGTACTTGCCGCTGAGCTAAGTCCCCAGCCCCTTGACTTTATTATTGGTAGAATATTAGATATAAAGATTCTGTAAGCCATTTCTATATAGGTAGGTGTCCTGGTGCATGTGTGCAGGAGTGTATTTAAAGTATATTTACCGGGGCTGGGGATTTAGCTCAATGGCACAGCGCCTGCCTGGCAAGTGCGAGGTTGTGAGTTCAATTCCTGGTACCAGCAAAAAACCAAAACCAAAACCAAAAAAAAAAAAGTATATTTACCTAAAAGAAGAATTGCTTAGTCATAAAAATACATGATTCTTTACTTAGGATACAAAATTGTTTTCCAAAATTACTGTACCAAATTATAGTCCAGCCAGTAGTACTGTGTAAAAGTTCTTATTGCTTATCACCATCAACATTTATCATCAGACATTTTAATCTTAGGTAATCTAGTGGATATATTGTGCTTTTACTTTGTATTTCTTGGGGCCAGGGATATAGCTCAGTGGCACAAGCACCTGCCTGGCAAGTGCAAGGTCCTGAGTACCTTTGATTCCTGGTACCAAAAAAAGCAAAACCCCCCCAAAAACCCATTACTTTGTATTTCTCCCAGTTGTGAGGTTGCACACATCTCATGCTTGTATTCACCCCTTGGATTTCCTGGTATGATGCACCTGTGATGTACCTATTTTTCTTGTTGGGTGCCGATGCTTCCTCTTCCTCTACCTCCTCAAGTTCGTTATACCCAGAGTGTAATTTCTTTGATGATTATCCATATTTTAATGTCTTCTGTTCTGACTTATTTCATTTCTTTAGTGAACAGAAATTATTTTTATATGGCTGAAGTTACTAGTTTTTTTCCCTTATGGTCAGTATTTTTGTTTTGTATTTTGATTAAGGTAACTCTTTTTGCCAGGAAATGAAGATTTTTTTTTGTATTACAATATAAACCTTTGTACTTTCCTATTTGGTTTGTGTTTAGGTTTATAATCTAATTGGGAATAAAGGTTTATGTTATGGCGTAGGGTGTCTAATTTTACTCTGTTTCCTACACAGATGTAGAAAATGTTTCTTAGAACCTTTTATTGAAAGCCTTTCCTTGCTGTATGCTCTGCAGCGCTCCTGTGTTATACACACGTGTCCACATGTATGTGGGGCTGTTTGTGGGCCCTGCCACCTGTTCTGAATTACTTTGATTCCCGTAGCTTGGAAGTAAGCCTTGATACCTACCAGCTGGTTTCCCCAATGAGGGATACCTGCCTGCCTTCATATTCTTGGCCTTTCACGTTTCCACATCAATTTTAGAGTTGGCTTGTCAAGTTCCACAGATTTTGATTGGAATTGCATTGAATCTACACATCACTTTGAGAAGAATTTGTATCTTTACATTATTGAACTCTACATTCCATGATCATGATGTAAATCTCCCTTTCTTTCTTTCTTTTTTTTTTTTTTGGTTTTTTCTCCGGTACCGGGAACCGAACTCACGACCTTGCGCATGCCAGGCAGGCGCTTTTGCCGCTGAGCTAAATCCCCAGCCCCAATCTCCCTTTCTTTAAATGTTCTTTAAACTATCCCAGTAATGTTTTATAATTTTCCTTAAAGAGGGCTTGCATAGTTTTTGTTAATTTTATCCCAGTGTAACTTGATTTTTTTTTTTTTGAGACAGTATCTATTTATGTAGTGCAGGCTGGCCTTGAACTTGCAGTGATCCTCCTGCCTGAGCCTCCTGAGTGCTGGGATTATTACATGCATATGCCATCTTGCCTGCTCACTTCATTTTTAAAAATATAGTTGTACATGTTGTTTTAATTTTTAAGCTTTATATTGTTTCTACATGGAAATACGATTATTTTTTAGTGTAGTAAAAATGTACTGTTTGTAGCAGTTTTTTTTCTTTTTTTTTTTTTTAATCTTTTTGAGACAGGATCTCACTATGCAATTCAGGTTGGCTTTGAGCTCACTTTGTAGTCCAGGCTGGCCTCGAACTCACAATGATCCTCCTGCCTCAGCCAGACCTAGTGCTGGGATTATAGGCATGTGCCGCCACGCCTGGCAGTAGCAGTCTTTTTATTGATTCTTTCTCGTTTTGTTGGTGTTGGTGGTGGTGGTGTTTTTTGTTTTTTGAGACAGGGCCTCACTGTGTAGTTTAGACTGGCCTTGAACTCGTTATGTAGCCTGTGCTGGCCTCGAACTTGCCGTGATCCTCCTGCCTTACTCTTTTTATCGATTCTGGCAATTTTCACTAGGTACTTTTTTTTTTTGGCCTGTGTGACCACTGCCTTTGTAAATGGCAGCTTTTTGTTTTCCAGTCCCTATACATTTTGATTCTTTCTTATTTTACTATACCAGCTTGTTCTTCTGGTGTGGTGTTTATCAGGAGTGGTGATAACAGGCATTTTTGTTGTGGTTTTAATCTGAAAGGAACTGTTTTCATATTTGCGTAGGATTTTTTAGAAGTACCTTTTATTGAATTCTGGAAATACCCTTTACTCTTTGTTTCCTAAGGGGTTTTGTTTGTTTGCTTTCTAACCAAAGTAAATACTGACTCTTATCAGATACTTGCTCCAAATCTTTTAAAATGGTCACTTTTTTTCTTGGAATCTATTATGTGGTTCATTTCACTGATGAGAATTTTTAGTGTTACAAGCCACCTTGCGTGCTTGGGGGCAAGCCAGCTTGATTTTCGCATCCTTGCTGCTAAGTGAGAGCGACCTGGACTCATCCTTTTCAAGTGCTGATACCAAGGTTATACTGTCACAAAATGAGTTATGGAATAAATCCTTTTTCTTACCTTCTGGGGCAAATTTTATATCCTATTAAAATTATTTATTCTTTGAATATTTTATACAACTTGCTTGTGAGGTCATCTGGGCCTGGAGTTTTCCATCTCAGCATAAATTGTCCATAATACCCTCTGTTATACTTTGTTCAGCAGAATCAGTTGTTTCATCTTGCTTTTTAATCATTCTTGATATTGGTCACATCTTCTTTTATCTTGCTAAGATTTGTTAAGTTTGAAAGTCTTTTCAAATAACCAATGTTTGGCTTTGATGCTCTGTTGAATGTTTGCTTTCTGTGTCATACATCTCTACTTTTCCTTCTGTGGTTAAGGTTTATTTTTTGTCACTTCTTGAGGCATATGCTTAACTCAGTAATTTCAGCCTCTTTTTTTCCCTACACATTCATTTAAGGATATACATTTCTGTTTGTAGATTCTGCATCCTACAAATTTTTTATGTAGTGTTTTCATTGTTGTTCAGCTTAAAATAATTTTCAGACTTTCATTATGACTTTTGATTCGTGTCTTATTGATAGTAATTCCATAACAATGGCATTCACATAATGGTTAAGGATTGTTTTTGTCTTTTTGAGACAAGGTCTCGCTGTGTAGTTCAGGCTGCCCTTAGCTCCCTTTGTAGCCCAGGGTGATCTTCAGTTCACAATGATCCTCCTGCCTCAGCCTCCTAAGTGCTGGGGTTATAGGCATGTACCACCACGCCTGGCTGGTTAAGGATTTTATGGCTTATAATTACGTTATTTCTGATGTCTCCACGGCTACTGAGAGTGACTCACTCAGTATATATTTGGGCATATTCTCCCTGACAAGTGGCAAGTAGCAAGAATGTACAGAAGAGAATAAAATTTATCCTTGTGCGTGTTTCTGTTGCTGTACAAAAACTTGCTGGTGAGTTTCTTGTACATTCTCAGCTCAGTTCCAAGACTGGTATTGTAGTTAGACTGTCACCTTGGTTACACACTGACTTTTATTTTTCTCTGTTTTAGCTGTGTTGGAGTAGAAGAACACCATGCTGTTGACATTGACCTGTATCACTGTCCCAACTGTGCACTTCTGCACGGCTCGTCCTTGAGTAAGTACTGAAGGCCTAAACAGAAATTGAAGTTTTGAACTTTACATGGCATGATGATACTTTAATAGTACGTTAGCTATATTATACCCACCAGGAACTGTAAGGAAGATTTCACCAAATGTTTAGAATGCAATTTTTATCTGAATTAGTAAATAACTTATTAAATAAATCAAAAGAATAAAGGAAAAAATATTAGCACTTTAAATTCCCAGAGCTCTTAAACTTAAGTACATATATTTGAGAAGTGCAGTAAACTTTTTCTGATCTGAAACTTATTTTGATTGATTTTATCTCTTCACAAATCAAAATCTTCCAGTAGTATTTTGGGGCAGTGTACAGTATACACATATGCATTATATCTTTATGAGAAAATTAGTGTATTGATAAGCTAAGATACTACTTACATTTTCTACGTTTGGTTATTTTGAATATGGCTTGGAGTCCTGCTTGGTCCTCTCTGGTTGGAACTTCTCTGCCAAGGTCTCCGAGAAATCTGAGCTGAACGAATGCTTTAGAATATTTCCTTATGAAATACAGGATGTCTGTTTTGTTAGTTACACAGTGTAAACATTAAGGTAGAACTGTCACATGTATAATTTAACTAGTTTCATGTTATAAGTGTTTTAAAGAATCTTACTCTTGAGTAGCACTAATGTGGTGTATAACTTGATGTAATTATTGACCAAGAATAATTCTTAGAGAAAGTAAATAATACAATGTTGTTATCTCAACGGAAGCAGAACTAAAATTTATAATGGTTTTAGTTTAGATTCAAATGCTTAATCTTAAAAATAACTAATTTGAATTTAAATTTAACTTGTATGAAATATTGAGTTACTAAGAGGCAGAAAAATACAGTCTACTGTATGTGGTGCACTTTATTTTCTATTTCCCCCATATGATTTCATCTTTTAGAAACCTTGTCACACTCACTGAGATGATTACATAGTCCTTAATGGACTGCAGTCTGCGCTTTGAATAATGGTGCGTCCGAGGAGAGCTGGCCTATTGTGCGGCTCTTCTGTTGCTTCTCATCCTTGAAGAGCAGAAGATCAGGCACTGGCCAGCTCCTAGGCAAAGGTCCAACTCTGAGCAGGCAGAGGGACGATGCCCGAGACTTAATAATCTGTTTTGTCCTGATGTAAGGCTCACCTCCCCGCCCCGCCGTCACCCAGCATGGGTAATCCCTTTTGATTCCCATCCCTTTCTTATTAAGCATCACTTGCTATCCAAGGTTTCCTGTTCCTTTCAGAGTTCTCCATGACTCATTATAGATACCATTTAGACAGTAAAATACCCACTTAGTATGCCAAATTTAGACTTTACTCTTTGTTAGGATTTTTTTTTTTTCCTTTTGGTGGCACTGGGATTGAATCTGGGGCCTTTGCAGTGAGCTACATCCCAGCCCTTTTTCATTTTTTATTTTGAGACAGGGTCTTGCTAAATTGCCCAGGTGGGACTCAAATTTATGATTGCCCTGCTTCAGCCTTCCTCAGCACTGTGGCTATAGTTGTGAACTGGGCTGGGCTCCTTGATTGGGAATCACGAACAGGAGTCTCAGGAAGTTCTCAGAAAACAGTCTGATACTCACATATGTATTCTGTGTGTTCCTCTGGCACTTGCAGTCTAACACGAAATTTGCTCTCCTTTCCCTATGACCATTACTAAAGTATTCCTTTACTAGTCTCCTTCCTTAAGAAGTTCAAGCCGAGTGTGGTGGTGCACACCTGTAATCCCAGCCCTCAGGAGGCTGAGGCAGGAAGATTGCTGTGAGTTCAAGGCCAGTCCCAGGTACATAGTGAGTTTAACACCAGCCTGAATTGCATAGCACGACCTTGTTTCAAAAAACTAAGAAAAAAAAATTCAGTCAACTTTTGCAGTGAGTGTTTTTTTATTTTAATCATGTTGGCCCAATAGGACAGTTGTATCTTTCTGTTGCTCTCCTACAAATCAGCACATCTAAAGGAAGTGATAACTGGTAGTTTATTATATGCCAGAGGCTTTGTTGGGTGAATACTTGAACTAAGTATGATCCTCCTTATCTCTTTTGATATTTATAACAACGTGGCATGCAGTGTAAGAATTATCTAACTGGTTGTTTTATGGAACTACTTGGCAGAGCTAGATTTTGGATGCACAGTTGCCAAATCCCAAAGCTAGTAGCAAAAGTGAAAATTAAAACAGTGCATCTTCCTTTTTGCTTTTAAATGATGTTGCTCATTGTTAATGCAGGGCTTGAGCAAGGTAACTGCATGGTAGGAATTGGCAGGATGTGAGTTACTACCCCTTTCCTGGACGTAGCTTCGCAGTGTGCAGCAAGTATTTAAAAATAATAATCTGTGCTTGCTTCGGCAGCATATGCACTAAAAATAATAATCTAGCGTTTCTAGAAATTTATACTGAGGAATTCATCAGGGAAACAATCTATATGAATATTAATCACAGCATTGTTTGAACAAAGTTTCAGGATGAACTCAGTGCTTAAAAAAGTTATAATGGTGCATCCACATCTTAAAATTCTAGGCTGCCTTTAAATTGCTTTTGAATATTTAATAAGGATAAAATGCTCATGATAAGAAAGATAAGCAGGATAAATATTGTGATCCCACTTAAAAATAAAATGGAATTATCCTATCTGTGTATAGTAAAAAACCTGGAATGAAATGCCCTTGAATTCTAGGAGTGGTTTTAAGTGAGAAAAAAGTAATATGTAAAGGTTGCCTTAATGGAATTTTCTAAGATTTTTCTGTGGTTCTAAATTTTTCTAATGAGATTTTTAAAAACTGGGATTTACTCTCTTTCATATTGGAGATGTGGCTGCAATAAGTTATTTGGGAATCATATGTTAGATGGTTAGATTTGAATAAGCCTGATTTTCATTCCTATTGATTATTTAGCATGACCCTCCTCATCCATATGAGGATACAGTATTAATTGTATTATCATGATCTTGGTATGGCGAAGGTTTAAAATAACCTGGTAGCCAGGTGTGGTAGTGAATGCATATAATCCCTGCATTCAGGAGGCTAAGGCAGGAGGATTGCAGAGAGCTCAAGGCCAACCTGAACTATATAGAGACCCTGCCTCAAAAATAAATTATCTATCTATCATCCTGTCTACCTGTCATCTGTCTTAGAATCACAGAGTTGTTTTCCTCCTAACATTTTGTTATGAAAATGTTAAAACATACAGGAAAAGCTGAAGTAATTTTATAGTGACTACCTGTAAACCTTCATTATGTAGGTCCTGCTATTAACATTTTATGTTAAGTTGCTCTACCACTTATCTCTCCATGTAACTCTCACTATTTTTTATTTCTTACTGCATTTTTTATGCATTTCGGAGTAAGCTGCAAACTTCAGTACATTATCCAGAATCGTGGGATTTTAGGCTTAACAGTGATTTTCAAGCTTACACAATAAAATCTCACATTGATTCCACACAGAGAGCTGTGTGCAGTGGCACTCGAGTGGAGGTGGGAGTGAGATCCAGCCTCTTCCTGGGTCTCTTCTGCACCTCTGTCTTTTTCAGGTGCCTCCCACAGTTTGCAGATTGACACTGTCCCCAACCTGCTTGAGCTTCGCCTGGGGAATCCAGGCCTAGAGGCATTGGTGACCAGCCCAAGGCTGCAGAGAAAGTAAATGAATGAGCTAGGAATCAGTGCCAATTTCCTGAGTGTGGTTGTTGTGACTACTCGTGATCATAGCCTCCTGGAGCTGTGGGATCTAAGATCCCCACTTTGAATCACCCGTGAAGTTTTGTCATCCTACCTGTCTCAATTACGAGTCAGTAAGCTGTTCTTCATGCCAGTATAAATGTACTATACTTATTTTAGAAGTAAATCATCACATAAAAGAGAAAGGAATTACAGTGTTAAATGGATTTCTTTTTTTGTTGTAGTTATTGTTGTTGTTTTTGAGGTGGGGTCTTGCTGTGTCGTCCAGGCTGGCCTTGAACTCTGTGTAGCCCAGGCTGGCCTGGGACTTGCAGTGATCCTCCTGCCTTGGTCTCCTGAGCACTGAGGATTACAGGCGTGCACCACTACACCTGGTTTAATGTAGATTTCTGATGTGGGATAAAAGGCCCTGTCCTGAGAGAATAATTTGGATGATCTGGATAATCATATTGTACCTAGTGTTCTCAGAAAAATCACAGTTTTAAATAATTTGGTAATGTCATGGTGTGGATAAGTAAGGGTATTATAAAATACTTCATTTCTTGATTTAAATTATTTAATTTTTAAATTATTTTGAAATAAAAAATAGATTCTAAAAACTCACAAATGAATTCTCTAAAATTGCAGCAGTAATTAAGTGAAATTTACTTCTGTGGACTGGAAATGTATTAAAAACTTAAGGTTTTTTTTCATATCTTTAAAAAGTTTATGACTCTCCAGTCAAAACCAACAGGGTGTATCAGGTACGTCTCTCCTGAAGGTGAGCGGTTTCATTGTACTTGCAGTTGTTTTTTCTGAACATGTAGACGTTCTGATCAGAAAGTATATCATGTCAAGAGCTGGGTGAGGTGGCTGTTGCTCCCCAGGAGGCTGCAGCAAGAGGATCACAAGTTCGTAGTCAGCCTGGGCAATCTAGTGAGACCCTGTCTCAAAACAAAAAATAAAGGCGGCTCTGGACTGTAGCTCGAGATGGCGTGCTTGCCTAGTGAGTGCAAGGCCTGGGGCTCAGTCCCCAGCACAAATCAATTAATGACGGACGTAGTGCCACCACTTACCAAGAATGTTTTCTTGAAATACAGTGAAAAAGAGGAGAAACTGGCACAGGCATGACTACACAGAGATTGATGATGGTTCCAAACCAGTACAAGCTGGAACCAGGACTTTCGTCAAAGAGTTACGTGCTCGAGTCTTCCCAAGGTATGGACACTAACTGAACAATTCCAGCTGGCTGATGAAATGACATTATATAAAGCAGTATTTTCAAGCTTTAGGCTGCAATACATTATTGTTCTCAACTGGCTTTTTGCTTTCCCTCATTGAAATAGAGTAGGAAATACCTTACATTGCAGGTAAAAGGAATAAACATAATTTCATGGAATAGTTCCTGTCTGTATATGCATAGCGCTCACCATGTAAAAATACACTTCTTAATGGTGGTCACAGTCCAAAAGCTTTGCGATATGCTGATGTGAAGCAGTTGTCCCCAGTGCTTAGTTCCTTTTGAGAAGCGACTGCTGCTGCTTTTCTTTCATCTCATCCTCTTTGGAGCTGCTCCCCCTCCCCCCATTATCTTCGTTATCAGTCTGGTCTACCAGAAGCTCCTACAGCCTTTGCTTAGCTGTTGATGGCACCAAGGCTGAGCTTTTTGATTTTTAAAAATAATAGAATATATTTTGGTTGTCTGTGGCTCAAAGAAAGTCAAAAGCATTATAAGGCATTTAATCATGCTAATTTAGATCATTTCCTATTCACTGCCTGATGTCTGTTTAAAGTGGTAATGCTTAATAGGCTTTTACACCAGATTGTATCCAGGCTTGATAAAGAGGGGAAGTAGATTTAAATTTAAACCACAGTATCACATGTGGCCTATTATGGAATTTTTTTTCTGATCCTGAAATGAAAAACAATAAACAAGAAAAAAACCCTGCTCTTTTTCCTTTAGGTTTTCTGTCTGTCCTCCTGCCCTTTCATCCTTAAACAGAAGCATACTGATAAGCATCCATATTGGCTCCCTCAGGTCTACAGAAAAACAGAAAAAAACAAAACAAAACAAAAAAACAAACGAATAAACAGCGTTTGCACATGAGTTTGGTTATGTTACCGGTTTCGAAGTCATGGAAGTGTTTGCTTGCTTTCCCTGTGTTGGACGGTGCTGGAACGGCATCTTGAAAGCCTGAGTGTAGTCTGGGTCTTTCATGGGCCTGAGCAGGTCTGTGGCCGCCCTAAAACAGTGTGTACAGAGTAATGCCGTGTGAGCACACTCTTCTCAGCGGGAGAAGCCGTGGCTTTTACTTTTTCAGATAGGTTTGTGAGCCCCCTAAAAAGTAGTACTAAAAGCTTTGGCCTAGTAATTCATGTGGCTTTTCTGCCTAAGTGAACACAAATGAGAAGATATTGAAACTGTAATTACCATTCATTAAAGGTCTTGGTTTTATTTTGTGTAACTCCATAAGCCTTTGGATCATGTAAAGCCGTGGTAGAATAACAGTAACTACTAAATTACACATACTTGATATAATTAACACAGAAGTGTGTAAAAGTAGGCAGATTTGCTTCTATCTCTCTTACGACTTAATGTCTTTTTGGACCTTTTTCTATATAAATAATACTTAAAACATTTATGTATATGGATATATGAATGTCTGTATGCATATACTTTTTAAAATAAAAAGAAATTATGTTAGGCATAGTGTTGTGCAATATGTCGTTTTTACTTTAGATATCCTTCCTTATTGTATATGGAATATACACACACATACATATACATCCCTCACTTCTGAAGTGTTGTGTAAAGTACAATAAATACCATACTTGGTTTACTGTCCCCTTATGTATATTTAATTGTTTACAATTATTTTCCTCTTTCAAATAATATACCTATATTTTATTTATTTATTTATTTCCAGTACTGGCAGTTGAACTCATGACTTTGCACTTGCCAGGCAGGCGCTGTGCCGCTGAGCTAAATCCCCAGCCCCTATATGCCTATATTTTAAGGGCTTACATCTTTTTTTTTTTTTTTTTTTTTGATAAACGGAAGAAGTAGAATACTATCAACATTTGAGATTGAGAGGACAGATGATAAATTGTCTCTTAGACTTGAATTTAAGGAATTACTTAATCCTCAGAGAGCAGGGGAAGGAAGGTAAATTGTGGATACTTATTGGTAAATAAAAGGTAGGACAGAACTCAGGCTCAGTAGAGGAGTTAGATGAGGAAGACCTAAGCTATCCTATAAGACTATAAGACTATCCTATAAGACTCTCTAGGTTGGGTGTATGAGAGGGGGCATATGTCTGTAATTGCAGCACCCTAGGAGGCTGAGGTGGGAGGACCCCAAATTTGAGTCCAACTTGGACAACTGAGTGACTTAGTGAGATCCTGTCTTAAAATTTAAAAAAAAAAAAAAAGGCCAGGATGGAGCTCAGTGAAGGCCCTGGGTTCCGTCCCCAACACCCTCTCTGCCGTAAGGACTATCTGGAGAAGCCTGTCTCAGTTATCTAAGGCCTTCGTGCCCCTGTTTATTGAGACAGTGGGATGATCAGAGCCTGGTAGTGCAGAGGACCAGCATCTCCCTTTTCTCCTGTTTTGTCCTGACCACTTAGTTTGCAGATAACATCAAATGGTCAGGATCTGATTACATAAATGGAAGCTGCTGTGTTTTAACTGTTAAGGCAAGTTGTGCACTTCATTTTGCATACACAGAGGCTGCATACTGAATTTCTTTGGATTTAGGATGGAGGACAGTAACAAGGACAAGTCACACTGAAGTGTAATATCTATATCAGGGAAGGGAGCCTGAGGTCCAACAATGTTTAGTTGATCAAATATCTGCCTGGTATTAAAGACTTACTAATACTGGTTGCAACAGATTACTTAAATCAGTAGTTCTCAGTGGGGGCATGTGGGACACTTGTGTCAATGGGAAGGGACCAGGGATAGTAGTTACCGTCCTGTGTGCAGAACAGTTCATTGTTCTGTGTTCCATTAGACTTTAAAATGCTTGATAAGTATTTGCGTAGAACTTTATAGTCAGGTAAAATCTGGTCTGTTTTTTACTTATCCTAACACTAATTTTTATGGTAATATACACCCTGCCTAACTGCTCTTCTGATTTTCTACACAGCTAGTATTGAATGGCTTTTGGTGGTTTTTTTTTTGTTTTTTTTGTTTTTTTTTTTTGTTTGTTTTGTTTTTTCCTTTTAAATTCAGCCCTTTGCTGGGGATTTAGCTCAGCAGCACAGCACCTGCCTGGAAAGCGTGAGGTTGTGAGTTTGATTCCCAGTACCAAAAATAAATAAATAAATAAATTCAGCCCTTCATTACAACTAATTTTAAACATCTTGTTATTTTATTATGTCTTTGAATGTAGTTTATCTGAAAATTTACATATGGAGATACATATTATGCTCTAATATGTATTGCTTTCTTTTTTATGCTTAGAGCATTTTATATATTTTCCAGTTATAACCTATTGAATTAAACATTGTAAATTATCTATGAATTTTACTTTAGGATGACAAAAAGGGCTTTGCAAAATGTTTCTTACTAAGAGGAGAGGGGCTGGGGGTTTAGCTCAGTGGCACAGCGCCTGCCTGGCAAGTGCAAGGTCGTGAGTTTGAGTTCTTTACCGGAAGAAAACCAAAAACAAAACAAAAGAACTAAGAGGAGAATTAGGTGTGATAGGTGAGAAGTGATAGAATAATTATGCAGTACAAATGTTAACTATTATCACAGTTACTGTTTTTAGACTGAACTTACCAACAAAAATGACATCTTAGTCTTACATTTTTAGTGCCGATGAAATCATTGTGAAGATGCATGGCAGCCAGCTGACGCAAAGATACCTGGAAAAACACGGATTTGATGCCCCTATCATGGTCCCTAAATTAGATGACCTAGGACTCAGGCTCCCTCCTTCTGCTTTTTCTGTGATGGATGTGGAACGTTATGTAGGTACGAACTTGGCTCCTTTAAGTTCTTGGGGAAATACGGTGAAAGTAAGTATGTGCTAAATATTGTAACTGAATGAGGAAATGTCAGTTTAGTTCTTTTTCCTGGGTCAGCGAAAGTGAGACTCAGCATCGTGCTGTTGGAAGCTGCTTTCCTCAGCAGGCCTCCTACGTCAGAAAGTCAGTGTTTACCCATTCTAATTTGTTTGGGCTCATCCTGCGCGGTTGCTGGTGCCGCTGAGTGTAATACTGTACTTGCTTAAGGAGAACCCTTACTAGGGGCAGCTGCAGAGCCAAAAAGCAGCGGAGAACTAGGCAGTCTCTAGGCATCTGTAGAAGCCTGGTGCGGAATTCCCGCAGCCCACTGTACTGACCAGCCCTTTGCACGGCTTTGTGCCTATTGGCTAGAGGGAGGGCTGCTAGGAGAGGAGATTCTGTTCAACCCGTTTTTATATGAATGACTTGGGGACTTTGCCATTTAATGACATGTGGACTTAAGCTGTAATTCTGAGGCCCAGAAGGTAATTAAGAAGCAAGGCGAGGGGCTGGGGATTTAGCTCAGCGGCACAGCGCCTGCCTGGCAAGTGCGAGGTCATGAGTTTGATTCCCGGTACCGGAAAAAAAAAAAGAAAAAGAAACAAGGGGAGAAAGGTCCTTTACTGATTGCCAAGTTGTTGACATTTTCAGTCATTTCATTTATTCTTATCATGATAAAGTTGACTATACGTAGATGCCATTGTTTTCAACAACATATTATTTGAAAATTAGATTCCAAATATATCTTTTCTCAAAATTGTATGACCATTACCTTATCTCCTCAGCATGGAATATCAAAGAACTTGTCCCTTTACTGAGCTATTGGTTGCCAGTTTTCATTGATAATTATTTTACTGTGGAAACCCAGTTAAATATCCTGACTTCACATTCAGCTAAATTTGTGATAAATCAAGGGGTGAGTGTGAGGTTTAACCTAACCTGTTTGCATAGATAAGCATTGTAAGATAAATGGCTCGTGTAATTTAATTGTACAACAAAATGTTCAAAGTGCTTGACAGCTTTTCCGTATCATAATGCTTCTCCAGTGAAATACCAGTAACAGAACTGTTACATCCCGAAGATAAGAAATGTATGAGATATTACTATTAACCTATGTGAAGTTACATGAGAAAACGACATTTATTTGTTTTCTATTTCAGATTGGCTAAGTATTGCCATACTTTGAATTCTGCCCTATCCTGTAGTTCATTGTAAAATTGTTTATGCTGGAAAAAAAAATTGTTTATGCTTCCTAGAGAGACATTGCGATCCTTATCAGCTTATGGTTTTATAGGCAAACTGAATTCATCACATCTCAGAATTTGGGCATTTAGTTAGACACTAATATGAACTGATTCTTTTGCCTGTGTACCACTATTGCCCTCTCCCTATCTTTTCCTCGCTCCCTGCTTCCTCTTTTCCTTCCTGTGGTACTGGGGATTGAACCGAGGTCTTTCACGTGCTAGGCATACATTCTAATAGTGAGCTACATCCCCAGCACTTTTCACTGAAGGAGAATATGAAAAGAAAAGGTATACCAGGAAAGCAGTTTTCCTGGCCAACTTGCCTACTTATTCCCTAATGAGTGATATTTTTCAAAACGATAGTCTTAGAATATTAGATATTACACAAGTTAAGAGAAAAAGCTAATCCTGTCATTTTATGCATGATGAAATTAAAACCTAGAAAGTGTCAGAAAATTTTCACATCCCAGTATATGTACTTTCTGTCATTGTGAGCTGCATGCACAAAATCATTGATACATAGAAAGCTTTGCAACCATATGCTTTTTTAATTCTGTAGCTCTGTTTTACTGCTTTATTTCCCTTAAGAACTGTCTCTTATTTTCAAAAGATGCTGTTGGGCCTAAATAGTAAAAATACAAGGATTTGTCTTGGCTGTGTATTTTTGTGGTTGATTTAATTACCACACCAAGAAAGTACAGTGTTTCAAATATTTTTGTTTAGGGTACCTTTGATAGAACTCATAAGGCCAATAATACCAATTTTTCTCTGCAGGTGGTGACAAAGTGATAGACGTCATTGATGTGGCAAGGCAGGCAGACAGCAAAATGACCCTTCACAATTATGTTAAATACTTCACGAATCCTAACAGACCAAAAGTGTTAAATGTGATCAGCCTTGAATTTTCAGATACAAAGTGAGTAGTTGTGGATATTTTGTTTTAGCATTCTGAGCATTGAATGTAGCTCAGTGATATATCTGTTTTACTGAGAAACATAGCTGTGACTTCTGAAGTTGTCTACTGGTAGCAGTGTTGTGAATTTTGCTTAGCACACTTAGAGAATATTTGGAAATGAGATGTGTTTTAAACTTCAAGTGTTGTTAACGTTGAGTTCTGGTTATTTACTTGGCTTAAGTTGACATGGGAGAAACAATTTTAAAGAAGTCTTAATTTGCATTATGTGAGTGTGTTTACATATGTTTGTTTTCTTTTAAAAGGATGTCTGAATTGGTGGAGGTCCCTGATATAGCCAGGAAGCTTTCCTGGGTGGAAAACTATTGGCCAGATGATTCAGTCTTTCCCAAGCCATTTGTTCAAAAATACTGCCTAATGGGTGTTCAAGACAGCTACACAGATTTCCACATTGACTTTGGTGGAACATCAGTCTGGTACCATGTCCTCTGGGTAAGACTAGGGTGTTTCTTTGTTCTCTTACTCACAAAAATATGTAGTTGTATTTTCCAAGTGGTATTCATTTGCTATGAATGATATTTGGAGAAGGGAAAGTTTGCCTACTTTTTGGTAAGATCTATCACTTTGCCTTTAACATTTATGGTTTTTAAAAAATCACAAGTGATATAGAAAGGCATGAACTCTTTCTCTTTTTAAAACTTTTTATTAGTATATATTTGTGATATGTAAATACATTCACCGTGGAGAATTGGTACATACACATATCCAGTCTTCATGAGGTCTTTATATTTAGATTCCTTTTTGCCTCCATCTTTTGAATTGGTTTCTGTTAGCCTTATGTCTTTTTCTTTCCCCATTCCCCTAGTTGATTATCCATTAATTCATGAACCAGATACCTAAGAAGGAGCAAAATGATAGTAATAATTCCTTCTGGCTTTAAGGGTGGGGTGAGAGGACTAGATGGATGTCATAAGTGTCCATAAAAATGCTAATTATTTGTGGTTTATATTCACTTTGCTTTACACAGAACTGTGCTGCTTAATATGGTACCTGTTCGCCATGTGTGGCTAAATTTAAATAATTAAAATTCAGTATAATTTGAAAAATCCAACTCCTCATTTTGTTGGCAATATTTCAGTGCCTAGCCGCATGCAGCTAGTGACTGCTGTGCTGGGTAGCGTAGAGAAATGTCCACCACCACGGAAGCCCTGTGGGAGAGTGCTGATCCAGAGCCACATCGCATCTGGGCTGCACTAGATGCTGAGTCCTTGACTTTCCTGCTCCTTTTCTCCTGGAAGATGCAAAGACTTGGTTCACTAAAGGAAGTTTATTTACAGGTTTTTAGAAAGAGTCATTATGGGAGAGAGATCTTGGGGGAAAGAGAGTTAGAGATAACTCTGTGGTGCGCCCGGCTGTTAACATGTTTACATGGACACCTTAAGAATGAGAGGTCATCAGGGAGGTGTTTGTGGTTTTCTAGCTTGCTCTCTGGCAGTGATTTCTCCAACTTGAATTACTGACTCCTTGTCAGCTGGGGGCAGAGAGGAGCATTAGCACTTGTGAAAATGTTGGTGAAGGGAATTAGCTATTGATCAGGAATGGGAAACGGTCTTTGTGAATCTAAAAAAGTCTTGCTAATTATTTAATTTAATTTAGGTCTTTGTATTGGGAAATCTTATCAATGTAGGCCATTGAAAGAATGGCTTTTGGTTTTTCAAAGATAGTATGGTTACTTCCTTTTAGGGTGAGAAGATTTTTTATTTGATAAAGCCAACAAATGAAAATTTGGCACTCTATGAATCTTGGAGTTCATCTGTGACCCAGAGTGAGGTATTCTTTGGAGATAAAGTGGATAAATGCTACAAATGTGTGGTAAAGCAGGGACATACCTTATTTGTTCCTACAGGTAAGGTTTTAACCCCATTCCCTACTACCCATAGTTGATTCTCATTCACGAGGAGTCAGCTTGTAATTAGAATCCATGGCTTTAACATGCTTGCAAAGTAGATTTATGGCATTGCTTGAGAAGTAATTCTGATCGTGACTTTTTATTTTTTTTATCCCTTAGAGGGCTTTTCTTAGAGTTAGGACTTCTCTTGGCATTGTTTTATGTTATTTGCCATCATTTTAATTTTTGTTGAAATAAAGTTCACATACTATCAAATTTGTCCTTTTAAAGCATACAATTCAGTGGTTTTCAATAGATTAATAAGTTTGCGCAGCCAGCACCACTGTCTAACTAGAACATTTTCATCATCTCAGAAAGGAACCATGCATCCTTCAGTAGTTACTTCCATGTTCCCCTTTTCCAAGCCTCTGGCAACTCCTTATGTGCTTTCTGTCTCTGTAGGCTCGCCTGTTCTGACACTTGATATATGTGGCCTTTTGTGTCTAGCTTCTTTTACTTAGCACAATGTTTTCTAGGCCCATCCATGCTGTAGCACATACAAATATTTTATCTTTTTATGGCCCAGCAGTGATCCCCTGTAGGTGTCCTGTTTTGTTTACTCATCCATCAGTGGGTGAACATTTGGGTTCTTCCAGCTTTTGGCTATTCTGAACAGAGCTGCCTTGAATGTTTGTATACACATTTCTATGTGCAGGCCTGTTTTCATTTCTCTTGGGTGTGTATCTACTGGTGGAATTGCTGCATTGCATGGTTTAACTATGTTTAATTTTTTGAGGAACTGTCAGTCTGTCCTAAAATGTGCCATAAACCCGAAATATAGGTAGCACTATGTCAGGTTGAGATGTGAACAAATGCAGAGAAGATTCTCAGGGCCAGTGGTTTTGAGAACTGTGTTCTTCTGGTTTGGGCCACCTCAGTGGCTACACAGTTCACAGGCTATCCCCAAGGCTCTGCTCTTCCCTTGTCTGGTGTAAATAATAATGAACGTGTACTTGAATAAATGAATGCGTGCCTACAACCACCAGAATTGCCTGGAGTAAGTTAATGTTTTCATTTTGAGTGAATAAACTCCCCCCTTGAATCCTTTTTCTAGTGTTGCTGTTTATAATAAATATTTTGTTGTGCCATCTTGAATTGAAATTCATAGATAATATATATATAACTTCTTGCATAATTTGTTTAAAAGTTGATTTAATGGACTAGAGGAAGAAGTAAAAAGGTAATTTATAAACACAGTGCTACTCTGATATGTGGTTGTGTGCACATAGCAGTAGAGGACAGAATGAATTGGTTAAATGCCTGAGTCACCAAACCAGTACACATGTGTGCTGTGGCCTTAAGTTCCCCCAGTCACTTTGGTGGGACAGTGGTTCTCAGACTTTATTTTGTTGTTGTTTTTTTTTTTTTTGGTTTTTCTCCGGTACCGGGAACCGAACTCATGACCTTGCGCTTGCCAGGCAGGTGCTTTGCCGCTGAGCTAAATCCCCAGCCCCGGTTCTCAGACTTTAGTGTCAGGGTCACCTGCAGATCTGGCTAACCCAGACTGTCACACTTACTATTATCCCCAGGATTCAGCAGATCTGAGGTGGGTCTGAGAATTTGTATTTTAACAAGTTCTAATGATATCGTGTGGGTCTGGGGAACCACACTTTGAAAAATACTGTGGTAGGCAGTGTAATTTTTTCCTCAAGATAGTTGACAACTACCAAGCTTCCAAGAAAACAAAACTATAATTTCCTTCAATTTGTAATAATTGTATATCTGGAAGTTGTGCTGAGACCACGTAGATATACCTTGTTTAGGTGCATAATCTGGTTTGTAGGTTCAAATAGTGAATGAACAGGATTTGTACCTAAGAATGCCCAGATTTATCTTTCTGTAAAGTCTTTTCGTTAAGTTATCGTTTCTTTCAAAAGCTATGTATCCTGTCTTAGAAACGATTTTCACTTTGAAAACATTTCTATAGGAAAATATCATTCTGGTTGCCAACATTTCTGTTTACAGCGCCACAACTCTCCACAATTAAATGTTGGTCATCATCTTTCCCCTTTTACAGAGTTCGGTCTCAGATGGAGTTTCCGATTCTCCTCTCCCTCGTCCCTTGAGGGCACTCACTAGTTCAGCATGGCACTAGGGAAGCAGAGTATGCAGCGAACTCCCGTTCTCCAACGGAAAATGTGCTTTCCTAACTCAGAGCAGATTTGTCAACTTGTCTTAGAGTAGAATCTGTACTGTAAGGTTGGAATATGTTTTTAAACTAAACTCAAAAACAGTAGTAACTATCAAAACCTTCACTGTATTCTTTAAACTCAGTACAGAGCTGGGCATATCATAGGTAATGAATAAATATCTAATTCAAAGACTTAACTGAGCGTAATAGACATTAACTAGCAGTGGGGTAATGAAGCAAACTAATATTGCTGTTTGAATTATCTCACAGGTAGACATCACATCTGTTTGTTTTAAATACTGAAAAGTGACTGATTTATATATTTTTAACCATTTCAGGGTGGATTCATGCTGTGCTCACGTCTCAGGACTGTATGGCTTTTGGGGGGAACTTTCTGCACAACCTTAACATTGGCATGCAGCTCAGGTTTGTGTCACCAATGCTGAAAGAATCTTCTTTTTAAAAATAGGACATTTTGTTTGTTTGTTTTAAAAGTCACAGAGTATTTTATTTGAGATTCCATGGAGATAGGTCTAGAGAAGTGATTGGGAATAGGAAGTATTAACAGAAGAGTGAATTAAAAGTTTTGTTTGGATGATACTCTGAAACATTTTAAACCTAAAGCAACAGGAATGACTTACTCATTATGATTTTGTCTCTCCAAATTTCAGTTTTTCTTTCTTTTTTGGAGACAGGCTCTCACTATGTACTCCAGGCTGACCTCAAAACGTTAATCCTCCTGCCTCAACCTCCCAAATGCTGGAATTACAGGCGTGTGCCACCACGCCCGGCTCTCAGATGTGGTTTTGACTTTAAATACTTCCTAAAGAAAACTTGACTGGGTGTTGCAGTCCAACACATGGAACTAATTTTTTGTTTTAAGTTTCATTTATTTTAATAGAATCCTCATAAAACCCTTTTGCTAAAATTAGGTTACAGGGCCAGGAATATAGCTCAGTGGAATCTTGCCTGCTTGGCAAGCATGAGGTCCTGAGTTCGATTCCTGGTACCAAAAAAAAGGCAAAATTAGTATACAAATCCCAAGGTGTTAGGGGCTGGGGATTTAGCTCAGCAGCACAGCGCCTGCCTGGCAAGTGCAAGGTCATGAGTTCGGTTCCCAGCACTGGAAAAAAAAAAAAAATTCCCAAGGTGTGATTTTTGTGTGTGTGTGAAGCTTAATATAATTATTAAGTACATTGTCAAATTTCTTAAGAGCAGAACCTAGATAAGATCATAACTCAGCATTGTCCAGCTGTGGTGTTTTAAATAGATACAACACTTGATTGGTCTTTCTTACATGTTATGTCGTGCTTAGTTTATTTTTAAGTTGATTGTCTTCATTTAACTTTGAAATGTTAATAGTAAAAATAATTCTGCCAATTGTATTCATTTAGGTGTTATGAGATGGAGAAAAGGCTAAAAACACCAGATCTTTTCAAATTCCCTTTTTTTGAAGCCATATGTTGGTTTGTAGCCAAAAATTTGCTGGAAACCTTGAAAGGTAATTAATGATTTGCACCTTTTGTTATATGATGATACATAATGTTTGTAAACTTCCATAAAACTGCCTGCCATAAAGAATTTTTTCTAGTTGGGTATGGATATCACCGTTACTATGTTTTGTAAAATACAGTGTACATGATTTGCCCCCTGCCAGGAACTGTCTTACCAATTAGTTTGTAGCCTGTAGCCTGCTAACCTGCATTCTTAGAAATGAGTATGTGAAGACCTGTATGGAAGCACATTGATGATACAGGAAAAGGCTCATCTCATCTATAACTCCAGTGACCTGGAGTATCTCACTCTCAGAAAGTAACTTCTGTCAAGACACTCTTACCTTGCATGTTTGCTTAAACATTTGCTTTAAAAGGCCAGGGGACCACTTCTCATGTCCTGAGAGAATCAGGTGCCTATGCCTCACCATTGTGACTGTCAGCTGGCTGGTATGATTTGCCTGTGAGCATACCAGCCACTGAGTGTCAGCTTAGGATCTGTATGTTTTTAGAAACTTCTTTTGTTTAGACTTAAAGCTGTTTTTTAAAGGAAGAACTTCAGATTTGGTGTTTTTATATTCTGACTTAATCTTTTGAGCAGTGGAGATGATATTCTCACTGCCAGAAGTGCATGAAAAACAGGAAATAGAAATAGATGTGACATTCAATTTCCAGGTGCCGGTGAGAATACATTTTTTCTAGTTTTGAATTGTCTAACTTTTCTATTCAGTTTGCAAATGGTGCTAAAATAACAGTGAACTCCTAGGAGAACAGATATAAATAAATTAAACAGTAAAATTTATCTAAACATTTTTTCCATTTAAAACTTATAGAAGAAATGGAAAGAAGCAACCAAAAATTCACTTTGCAGAGTAGGATGTATGATACCAAAGTGACGAAACTCATCACGTGTGCCTGTCCCCCGAAGAAAGCAGACAAGCCCCTCTGTGAGTGGAAGAACAGCGACAGCTTGCAGGGTGTGCAGTGTGCAGGGAGGTGCGTGCAGACAGAGGTGGGACCTGGCTGAGGAGGACTGGGTCCCTCCAAGCAGGCCGGCCTTGCTCCAGCAGTGACCCTTACCCTGATCCCAGCCCAGTCGTGTTTTCGGGTGTTGTGCTTGGCTGCAGGAATGGCGTAGTGAGCCAGGGAGCTGCCATTCCCAGCTGTCAAGGGTGCAGTGGAAACTAGGCACTGAGGTTGATGATCTCCTGTCCAAGTGCAAGGCCTGGAAACAGTCTATACATACTTGTGAAAGGCGGTAACAAGTGCTCGTGTTTTCTAGAAATGGACCCAGCTACTGAACCCTTCAATTAAGAGACTGACAGTTTTACACTTGGTTCAGAGTTCTCCCTCCCATCTTTTCGGTTAGTCTATCCTAGGATCCCAAATTCCTGCTTTATGGTTAGCAAGGAAAAACTCCACTAACACACACACCCCCTAATGTTTAAGAGGAGCTCATGAATTAACTTTTTAGAATGAATTGAATTTGTTTGAAAGGCAAAAATCTGGCTATTATTTTTAAAGCACAGCTGCATTTTGCATAGTTTTAGAAATAACTGTTTCTAAGTGGGGCATGGTGGCATATACCTGTAGTCCTAGGACTTAAAGGCTGAGGCATGAGGATCTCTGTGGTTTGAGGCTAGCCTGGGCCACATAATGAGTTCAAGACCGGCGTAAACTACACAGTGAGAGCCTGTCTCAAACAAAAAACAAGGAAAGAAAGAGCTACTTACTATTTGTCTTAGGCCATCAAAAGTTCAGAAATACTGAGATTTGTTTGTAAACAAGGGCCATATACAATAAAGACCTTAAAAACAGAGAAGGATTGCTGTGAAAGGGTATTTGTAAGTTGCTTTAAAATGTTTTATCAGCCAGATCAGTAGATACTTGGCAGGTGAATGAGGCTGACTGATTCACTTCACCCTTGCCAAGGTGAAAGCCAGATGACCGTTTCAACCCCCGCGTTGTCCTGGGAACTCATCCTGGAAACAGGACTGGTCCCCTTGTTTCTCCGCTTCGCAGCGTCTTCTTTCATGGCTGACCTTTTTACTCTGCATTGTGGCTATTATCTGCCGGCTCTCAGACTGTTACAAAGCTTGTGTGAGTGCTGGGCTAGATGAGGGTGGATTCTACAGAATTGGAGCTGTGTTTCATCTCAGTGAAAATAGAGCAATGAACCAGTTTGTGTAAGTAAATTAGCCACTGGGCAGAACTGAAATGTTTGCTTTTGTTTCAGCTTGCCTGAATTCTGGGTTACAGATGAAATATTTTCTTGAGTTTCAGATGATCCGTTTGCTTTAAAAACCCCAAAAATGACTTTTCTATGTGTGTGTGTGTTTACTTTTATGATAGTGAAATGCTGATAGACAGCGACCGTACAGACCGCACGTACACTGCATACACACACTCTTGTGTTACTTAGGTAATCCCTACACAAGTCAGACCAGAAATAGCCTTCCCTTCCTCATCATCACTCCTTGCCATACCTGCTTCCTGTCCTCCTGGAGATAACCGCTCTCTCTCAGCTTTTGTGGTAGCCTTTTCTTTGGTTTTATCAGCTGTTATAAAGTAAAACAGTTGAGTTTTCTCCATTTGTAAACTTGGTATGAGTGTTCAACCTGATACGCTCTTGGGACCTTGTCTTTTTCTCAGTAGTATTCACGAGATGGGTCCATGTTTCTGTGGGTAGTTTCTTTGCTATTGCTGTAGTGTTCTGCTGTGTGAACACATCTTCATTCGCATACCTGTTCTACAGAAGTTGTTGAGTGCCGGGGTTTGTTTACAGTGTGGGGTGCTTGTGGAAGATGTTTCTCAGAAGTCCTTAGTGCTGCCACCTAGTGCGGGAGTTAGCTCAGAGCACAGGTTTGATTGTTAAAAGTTATCAAGACAATTCAGTAGCTGATGCCAAATTGTTCCCGTTTCTGTTCCCATAGCTAGGTATGAGGGTTTACAGTGCTCCACACTGCCCAAAACTTGCTGTGCTAGGTTTTAATTTTATAAATGTACTGCTTTGCATTTGTAATATACATTATCCTGATTATTAATATAATTGAGCATTTTCCTCATATATATATATATATATATATATATATATATATATATATATATATTGGCCTTTTGGATTTCGTCTCTATCGGGTTAATAATATCCCTTACTGTTTGCTGGCTGATCAGGTCTGCAATCTCCCAAACGAGTGTATGGTGAAGGCTAAACAGAAGAGGCAAATGGAATGATTTTGGGGCCCCAGGAGGATGAAAGCCCTCTCACAGAATTCGAGATTCTCTCAGGGCTAAGACCAAGACCTTCTCTGGGTGGCCCATATTTATTTAGTTATCAGAAGAATGGAGGGGAATATTCAAGAAGGGTGGAACCACTCAAGGACTTCTCAAAATAAGGTATTAAGTTAATCCACCCAAGAGTGAGATGCCTGAGGCTACAGTCTTTATCTAGTTGAGATTGGATCCAAGTGTCCTTGGCTGTGATCTTGTCTTATCCTTTGAGGCTTTCTGGGTTTCATCCGCCATTACAGGACTTAGTAGGGATCAGTGACTCACAGAGGGTCACTTACTATGAGTCCATTGCCCATCACCAGACTCACAAATAGACATGAAAAGCCCATTGCTTAATTTAAGTCCTGCTCAGGGCTTCTTCGTAGTGGTCTCCATCACCTCTCTACTTAATTGCCTGTTTGGAACTTTTGCCAGTATTTCAATTTAGTTGTTTCTTTTTAAACTAATTTATAGCCAGGTGTGGTGGCTCATGGCTGTAATCCCAGCACTTGGAGGCTGAGGCAGGATGATCACTGTAGTTCATGGCCAGCCTGAAGTGCATAGTGAAACCCTGTCTCAAAAAGACAAAAAATCCCCTAATTTACAGAAGTTCTTTATATATTCTAACTTCTGTCCTTTCAGTAATATATGTTGATGCCATCGCATCAGCTGACTTGCCTATTTTCTCCCTGTGGTATGTTTTGAAGGGTAACATTTCTTAATCTTAAAACGGTATTATTTCAGTGCTTTTTGTGCTTCGTTTAAAAGGTTCTTATCTCAGAGTCTTGCAAATATTGTCTTCTAAAAGCTTTTGTAGTTTCATGTTTTACATTTAAGTTTTAACTTATTTGTAGTTGAATTTCTTGTGGCTGTGGGTAGGGACGGGTATATTTTCAGTTGTTTTCTTACAAATACCCATGGGTTCCAGCACTGTATTTTCGTGTTCTTGGTTGCTCCCGCCCTGTCCTGTACTGTGTGAATGTGTGTGCAGAGCCTGTGGCACTCTCTTCCACACTCACCTTCTGTCCTGTTGGGCTGGTGGTCCGTCTCTCCTTGTGCACACTGTCCTTTTCAGCTTACATTCAGACTTGGTATCTGTTAGTTCATCTGCTTTGTTCTTAAAGTGTGCCTTTCTTTCCTATATAAGTTTCTGAAGTACCTTCTTACAAGCTGACATTCTCCCCCTGAAAAAAGGCAAGCAGGCAAATGGGAACATATGGATTAAATGTGAGCATATTGAGTCTAGAGGTCAATTTTGTTTTGTTTTGTTTTTTTTTTTTTTGGTTTTTCTCTGGTACCGGGAACCGAACTCACGACCTTGTGCTTGCCAGGCAGGCGCTTTGCCGCTGAGCTAAATCCCCAGCCCATAGAGGTCAATTTTGATAAAATGTTATGTCATTAAATATGAAAGTTTTAGGCCGGGCATGGTGATGCACACCTGTAATCCCAGCATTCACAAGGCTGAGGCAGGAGGATTGCTGTGAGTTCAAGGCCAGGCTCAAGTGCATAGTGAGACCCTGTGTGAAAAAAAAAGAAGTTTTCAAAAAATTATAGTGGAACATCTATTCCTTTTTTGATCTTTTGAAGTTTCTTTTTTTTTGGTTTGGTAAAAACATATTTCTTAATAGGTTTATTCCTAGGTTTTTCATATTTTAGTGCTGTTGTAAATAACATATTGACACTGTATATAATTATATATGATTGAATCATAAAATTGCTGTTCTTGTATTTCAGAAGTGGCCAGATACCGGCAATTCATAAAGATAACTAGAGAAACTATTTTTATTCCGATTTTTCCATCTAGAAACCTTGTTAAAAACTATTATTTAATGATTTATTTGAGACTTTGGTTCTCTAATGTATAATTACATACATTCTCTGTGACTAATGACAGTCTTGTTCTTTTTAGAATATTTGTGTCTTACAATTGCTGTTGCTCTGCTGGGTTTGCGAGGACCTCCAGCAGTGGGAAAAAGGAGTGGGGAGGTGGGGCTTATCTTGTTCCCAGGCTCAGGAGGAGAGCGCTCCACTGTTTATCCTTGTGTTTGCCGGAGGCTTTTTGTTGATAACCTTTATCAGGTTTAGGGACTCCTTATCTGCTCTAAGTTAGCTGAAAGATTAAATCTTTTTTTTTTTTTTCTTTTTAAAAAATAATCAGTGCTGGTTGAATTTTATTAAAAGATTTTCATACATGTATTAGCGTACTCCTATGATTTTTCTCCTTTAATCTTTTAATTTAGAGGTTCTATTGATTTTCCTAATGTTAGCCCAACCTTGGTCTTGATATAATTAGAATATGGTGTATGTTTTAGTCCATATATGTTACTTTAAATAGTCTAGATATATTAATGTATACTAGAATATGTAAATATCGTCTGTATAAAATACAGAACATGTATTTACATATTACTTGTATGTATTTTTTTCTCTTGGTACATAGGTGAAATTGGCCCACATTTTGGTTTCTAACTCTGTCTTCGTTATATTTTGATATGAAAGTTATGCTTACCTCAGGACAAAAGTTAGGATTGTTCTTTTTCTGTTTTCTAGATGAGTTTGTGTAGGATTGGAGTGATGGGTAGGACTCACTGATCAAAGTGTCTGGATTTGTAGTTCATGGGAAGATTTCTTAATGCCAAGTCAGTATCTTGATGAGCAAAGGATTGTTCAGATTTTCTAATTTTTTGAGTCTGTTTTGATAAATCAATTGCTAAAATTGTCTCTAATTTGTTTATGTTTGTTGACATAAAGTTGGTCCTCTTTTGTTGTTGTTGAGACAGTCTCACTGTGTAGTGCAGGCTGGCTTCAAACTCACAGTGATCCTCCTGCCTCAGCCTCCTAAGTATTGGGATTACAAGCCTGTGCCACCACTCCTGGCTTGTTCCTGTTATTCTTAACTAATATCAGCATTTATAATGATGTCTCATTTGTCATTTTTGGTACTAAGTATTTGTGACTCTTTTTACTAGTTTTACTATCTTTTCAAATATTCAGTTTGAGGCTTAATAATCCTTTTTTCTGTTTTGTTAATTTTTGCACATATTTTTCTTTTTCTGTTGTTTTGTTTTCTTTTTAAACAGTCTAGGTGGGTCCTCAACTCATTAACTTTCAGCATTTTTTTTCCTAACACAAGCATTTAAGGGTATAAATTTTGTCTGTGTAGTATACTGTATATCTTAATACATTTTCATTATTGTTTAATCAAAATATTGTCTGATTTCCAGCACTTTAAAAAAATCTAAATGTTGTTTTGTAGTCTGCTTCTTAATGTCTGTGTTTTTTAGTTTCTAAACATGCGGCCTTTCTTTAGTTATCTTTTTGTTCTGATGTCTGTTACTGATTTCCAGATTAATTGCTTTGCAAACGGGTGATTTAGCTCTTTGGATTTATTGAGACTTGTTTATGGCTCTAGGAAATGGATGACTTTTATAAATGTTCTGTGTATGTTTGAGAAGAATATGTATTCTGCAGTTGCTGGCTATGATATTCTGTTCATAGCCATTAAATCATTTTATATGTTCAAATTCAATATATGTCTACTGATTTTTAAATCTACTTATTTAGTTGTTTAATTACATGTGTTAAAATCTCCCCTATGACTGCTTAATTGTTCACTGTTTTTGATGTTCTCTCTAGTTACTGCTGTGTTTTCAGACTATGTTATTGAGTACACATTTTTTTGTTTGTTTGTTTTGATTTTGTTTTTGTTTTTTTCTGGTACTGGGAATCAAACTTACGCTTGCCAGGCAGGCACTGTGCTGCTGGGCTAAATCCCCAGCCCTCTTGAGTACACATTTTAAATGGCTGTCTTCCTAGCGAACTGAATTTTTTGTCACTATGAAATGATCCTTTATTAATGACAATCTATGAATATAGCTATAGCAACTTTCTTTTGAAAGCTTGGTGTCTTTTTTCCATCTTTTAAAGTCTTTTTTGTATGTTTTTAATGTTTGGTGCATTTAGTACAGTTACATTTAATGTAGTTTCCTTTTTTTGCCTTTAGAATTGTTTCATGTTCAAACTTTTCCTTTATTAATTTGGAAGTTTGCATTTGTTGTTTAGTGGCTACTTAAAACCTAGAGTTAATCCTTTCATCTTCAGAACACTCTTAACGCCTTTCCCCACCCAAATTCATTCCCACAGAACTGAGAGAAGATGGTTTCCAGCCTCAGACTTACCTAGTACAGGGGGTGAAAGCACTGCATACTGCTTTAAAATTGTGGATGAAAAAAGAAGTAAGTCATTATTGTTCTTTTTGTACAGCAAGGTTAAGAAAGAGCCCTTTTGCTGCGTTGGCAGCATTTGTGAGTGCCAGTGGTAGAGAGAATGCAAACCCTTCTTTAATACAGCCTACACTTACTATATAGTATAGATGGATGCTATTACATAGTGTAGCTAGATGTGCTTGGTTTTGGTGATATTTATGAGAATAAACAACTTAGGTTTCTTCAAAATCTAATTTGGAAAAGAAGGTAATTCAGGTATTTAAGAAATGAACATGTAGGTGGAGAATAATAATAAACCATGTTGCGCTCTTAGCCTGCAGGAAGCACGGTGATTAGTCTGCTCGCGCATGATCTCATTTAACCCTCACAGTGACTGTGTGAGGCCTGGGTGCGCTTGGTGTCCCTATTTCAGTAACTTGTCCGGGGAAATTGGTGGTGCTAGAACAGGAAGCTAGTCTCTGGAAGGGCCAGCCTTTGGTCTTCCAGTCTGCTAGATGTGTAGAACACGAGGGAAAGGTGGGAGGCATGGTTTGAGCATGAACTTTCCATTTGCAGGAAGTTGTTAGCCCTTGAGCACCTCCACTTCCAAGAGGTCACCCAAGCCTGAGCTGCATCGTGAGACCTTGTCTCAAAAAAAAAAAGTCATCCTAGATCTTCATATGGAGCTACCGTTTTCTTCCTTATACTTTCAGAAGAAATTCCTGTGCTAGTGGTCTTAAAACTAATAATACAGAGTGGTATCTGCACTCTAGTGGTACCTTTCCTCCCCTAGGTGCATGAGCAATGAAAACAACAGGCACCATCTCATCTTTACTCCAGCCCCCTGGAGGGGTTGCACATAATACTTTAGTAGATGATAGTGCATCTCCATATTTGTTGATTTTTTTAAGGGTAGGAAAATTTATTGGAGAATTTGAATGGGGGAATGGGGAATAGGAATAGTTCCTGAGAGACAGGAAGAATCTCAAATGAATTGCCTATTTCTGTATTTCTTGAATGTCTGCTTTAAAAATTCTGCTCCTAAGAAATATTAGGAGACAATAATTAACAGGCTGCAATTCCAATAATTTTATACTTTTTAAAATTCATTTGCTACATATCCATTAGAGCAAGGTCCTGTGGAAACATTCATAAAATAAAAATTGTATCTTCCACTGTCAAAGACTTCCTTGTCTAAATGACAAGGAAAATTCTAAGCAAATTAACAACCATATAGGGGCTGGGGATTTAGCTCAGCGGCACAGTGCCTGCCTGGCAAGTGCGACTCCGTGAGTTCGATTCCTGGTACTGGAAAAAAAAAAACAAAACAGAAAACCGTATAACAAGATAAAAACAGAATAAAGCATATATTTCAAAAACTTCATTTTCTGTTGGAGGCTTTAGGCAGGTGGTCCACAAATGCATGTTTATCAGCATTGCCCATAGAGATTTTCTAAAAATCCCTGTATCCTCCTCTAGAGATTCTGCTTCAGTAGATCTGGAACAGGTCTGAATCTGAAAACCTAATAGGTGATTTCGATGCATAGCAAATTTGTTACCATCTATGAATATTGTTAATGTTATTGTTAATTTAAAAATGCGTTTGAGGTGCATTTTTAAAGCCATGTCTACATTTAACTGTGTTATATCTGTTGTAAGATGAGAGGAAGCTCAACATAGTGTTAAGAGCTTCTAGAATTAGCTGTTCGGCTTCAAATCTCAGCCGCATTACGAATTAGCTGTGTGACTGTGGATACATTACCTGACCTTTGTGGCTCAGCTCCCTCAGTGGTAAAATGGGAATAATTTATAGGTTGAGCATTTCCTAATCAGGATACCTGAAATCCAAAGTGCTCTGGAATCCAGAACACTTCCGGTCCCGAGCATTTCAGATAAAGAAGGTTCCATCTGTAGTATTTATGTCATACTGTTATTGAAGAGGTTAAATGAAGTAATACTCATAAAGTACTTAGCACATCAAAACACAGAATTAGCCCCATTAATATTACTGTTGATAATTTAACAGATTATGCTAAAATAAAATAGAAGTTCTACTATCTTGAGTGTGCCTTAAAAAACGAAAATGTTCTTAGATACAGAGATTAATACTGGAAAATAGACATAAAAATAATGACAGCTTTCAGTTCAGTAGATACATAACTCACTTATTAGTTCCTTGCCCCTATTGATGATATCGTCTTCCCATTTTGACTATTAAAAGAAAAAGTTTACTAAAATTATTCAAATTAAACTTTGCATAAGAAACTAGGGTTATTTAAGTGCCTGTGTTTCCCATAAAGATTTTTTACATATTGTGAATTAAATGTTATGCTTAATTTAGCTACTGATAGTTGTGGGAGCACAGTATGATTTGAAGTGCATAGAGTACAAGGTTCTTAATATAAAGCAAAATAAACTGTGAGACAAGTCCATTTTTAACTCAGCTGGGAGGATTTTATATGATAATGAAGCTCTTCTTAGAAATTATTTTAATCCCGACTCCATGAACTCTGAGACCGGGCTTCCTGCTATCTAGCTGTGTCTGTAAAGGCTAGAGAACCCAAATGTGTTCATGAGGTTTGCTAGAGAACCAAAAATGTGTTCATGAGGTTAGTTTTTGCATATTAAAATGTAAATAATTTTGGTTTTCTTGTCTTCATTAATACAGCTTGTATCTGAACATGCCTTTGAAATTCCAGACAATATTAGACCTGGACATCTTATTAAGGAACTTTCTAAAGTAATTCGAGCAATAGAGGTAAGAGGAGAAACGCATCTAAATGCTTGGTACTCTGTGTCTTGAAAAGCAGACGGATCTCCCACTACTGCAGACAGTGAAAGAGCTGGCACAGTTAGAGCAACAGTGAGCTGAATCTCAGACAGGGTCGCGGGTTTCCGGCTTTTCAAGTCCTGGAGAGAAATTTAGAATATTATGTTGTAGTGAAGTAACAAAACAGTGAGGAAGCAGGTACCACGTTACGTCAGGTTAGTGAAAAAAATAAAAAAAAGAGTAATCAGTTCACTTTTCAGATGCAATCAATTTCAGCTCATCAGAGGTGAATGTATGTTAAGTAGTTACAACAAGAGAAAAAACTAAGGTGCCTGAGTAAAGGCAGGTGAAGCTGGGCTAGAAAGAAGGGCGATAGTAGTGGGGCCGGATGAGGAGGCTGGATACCCCAGGGCGGCTGGCAAGGTGAAGGCCTTGGATGAAGGCCCGCAGAGTCTGTGCCCAGGTGTTTGAATTTATTAATTAAGAGCTCTCTAGGTATTTAAATAAAGGAGGTTTTCAAGTAAAGCTGTGTGTTGTTTTTGAGTCAGTGGAGGAATGGAGACCAACTGGTAATTTAACATCTTACACTAGGGCTGGGGTTAAGGAGTGGCAAGAGGTACAGATCTAGGAGAAATTAAAATGCTAGCTTTAGTATCCACGGGTGGGATAAATTGTTCATGAGTCTTCGGGTACAGTAGAAAAAGCAACAGTAGTTACATATAAGTGGGTTTAGTATAAAAATCATATATAATCTTAAAATATAGATGTAAAAATATAAATCTCCTGCACAATAACAACCAAAACTAAGTACAAACTCAATAAGAAAAGGCTGAGTCTGTGAAAAAAAATTCTATAAATCTTTACTAAGGGAGGTAAGATAATAGCTGGATAGATGGGACGGTCGTGGATGGAGGTGTGTCCATCTGGTATTACAGACTCCCACGAGAACACGAGGACTGGTCCAGAGAGCACCTAGGTTCGGGTGGATCAGGGGAATGAAAGGCTCTCTGTCTGTTATTTCCCTGGAATGAAAGTGTAGGTGGGTGTCGTAAGTTTTATCTGGCGATTCTGTGCAGAAGAGATGTCCTCAAAAATATAAATTTGGTGATTACCTAATATGTCTGAGTGGTTGCCTATTCTGAAGGTGAATTTGGGGAATAGAGATAAATAAAAAATATGGCGAGAGTTGAAATTTTAAAAAGTTTATTAGAGCAAAACACACATTGCCAAGAGCAGGACTGTGTTTGAAGTGTGGGGGAATATTTTAAGCATTTTGAAGGGGATTAATGGTAAAGAACTCTTTACTATAATAATTGTTTTGTTTTTTTGTTTTTTTTGTTTGTTTGTTTTGCTTTTTGGTTTTTGGTTTTTCTCTGGTACCGGGAACCGAACTCACGACCTTGCGCTTGCCAGGCAGGCGCTGTGCCGCTGAGCTAAATCCCCAGCCCCTATAATAATTGTTTTATTTAAATGTTTACTGTATTTTTTGGCCATGCCTCATTAAACATATATTTATGGCAATTTCTGTGAAATAAAAACACGATGCTGTGACCTCACCCACCTTAGTCACTGGATCTAGCACTGTGCTGGCTCTCCCCAAAGTCAAATGACCATGGAAGGGAAGCCTTGAATCTGAGTCAGGGCGTCATGGCGGCCATGGCGCCGCAACTAAAGACACACAGGGAACAGGAAGTGCTAAGAACAAGAGCATAAGTGCGTTCAAACCCTGGAGGAATATTCTGCGGGGAAGGTAAATGGCAATGTGCCTTCACTGTGATAGGTTTTTAAAAAGTATTTAAACATTTCCTGTGCTTTTTGATCACACCTCATACATAGAAAACAAAAGAGTTGGGGAGTTAGGCAATTTTTAACTCAAGGGAAAAATCAAAGGACATATAAAAGCCAGGCTTGGTGGCACACGCCTGTAATCCCAGCCTTCGGGAGGCGGAGGCAGGAGGATCAGTGTGAGTTTGAGGCCACCCTGGACTACATATTAAGTTCAGGGTCAACCTGAACTACATAGAGACCTTGTCTCAGACAAAACAGCAACCAAAAAAAAAAAAGTATGTATAAGAGTACAATGTGAGAATAATATGTTACGTGGTACTGGGTATCCACAGTTTTCGCTGAGTCCAGTTTAAGTACTGAATATTTAAGGAAAGAGCAGTGTGGGTAGGTTTAGAAGTATGAGGGTCAAAACTGTATCTTCTGTAGTAGGAATTCAGTAGTATCTAAAGCTGAGAGCAGTCAAAGTATGGTATATAGAAATTTAGAACACTGGGGAGAAGACACATTTGTAAGAATTCAGGCGCTCGCCATATACCTAGAATAATTAGAAGCAGACTCGCAGATCTGTGTGTACCATGTTCATAGCCGTATTATTCTCACGAGCCAGAAGGAGGGAGTAATCTAAGGCTCTGTCAGTGGATAAATGGCTGAACAGAGTGTGGTACATGCAGTACGCACTAAAAGGAGGAAATGCTGACACAGTGTGGATGAGCTTTGCAAAGTATATATTTTGCTGAGTGGAACAAACAGCTCACAAAAGGGCAGAGCGTATATAATCCCACTTATGTGAGGTCCCTTGAATTGTCAAATTCATAAAAGACAGCAGGATAGTGGGCAGGGCATGGTGGTGCATGCCTGTACTCCCAGCACTCAGGAGGCTGAGACAGGAGAATCTCTGGGAGTTTGAGGCCAGCCTGGGCTATGTAGTGAGTGACACTGTATCTCAGAAAACAAAAGAAGAAGAAAGTAAGCAGAACAGTGGTTGTTTTTACATCATCAATGTAGATTTTGAGTCATTAAAATTTGTAGTTTGAAATATTAATGAAATTCTACAGGCTCCATTCTTTTTAGAAGGTGAGGTCCACAGAGTGGGATTCTATAGCCCTTAATCTTATATTGAAAATCAAGGAAAGTGTTTACTAGAGAGGAGTGTATTCTAGAGAGGAGAGAAGGGAATAAAGGTCTCAGGAAAGCTGAGGCTTTGATTTGGTCTTTTTCTATGATTAAATGGAATGGTTTTTGTTTCCTAAAATATTTTTATGGTTGATTATTTAGACTATATAACAGTCTCATCATAAAACATCCCCTAATTTAATTCCTAAAGGAAGAAAATGGCAAACCAGTTAAATCTCAGGGAATTCCTACTGTGTGTCCAGTTTCACGGTCCTCAAATGAAGCAACTTCCCCGTACCATTCCCGACGGAAGATGAGGAAGCTCCGGGATCACAGTGTCCGAACCCCTTCCAACCTGGACATCCTGGAGCTCCACACGAGGGAGGTCCTCAAGAGACTGGAGATGTGCCCGTGGGAAGAGGCAAGTAGCGTGTTTCCAGAGACGAGAAAGTGCGCTGTCCCTGAGGTTCTTCAAAGGGTAGCAACGGTTCCAGGCTGCGTGTTCTCCTTGTCTGTCCTTTGCTGGAGACTTGCAGGCGTTAGCTAGTACTTAGGTCTGGGCAGGGCAGGGGGCCTTGTCTCACCAGGCCTCCTGCCTTTGCTAATGTGTTTTCCGAGTGTTCACCAAGTACCAGGTACTCGTGTCCTCTCTGGAGAAGTTCGCGCAGAGCTTGTGAGCTTTCATGGGGAGCGGGGAAGACAGATACTAAGCTGTATCATTTCCGGTGCTGGGTGTTCTGAAAGGGCCCACAGGGCACCCGAGCGGTGGGAAGAAGTGTCAGAGAGCCTCTCAGGGCTGATGTTTGAGCTGACACTGAACAAGAAGTCAGCTGGCTACAGAGCTGTGAGGAAGTACGTTACAGGCAGAGGAAGAGGGACGCAGAAAGCTGTCTTGGGGCTGGCAGCACCACCTGGCTGCTCTGGGCTGGAGACCAGAATCAGTCCGTCAGAGTAGAAGCGCTGGTGCTGGACGGAGGGGTGCGTGGGAGTGGGGTGAAATCAGTGTGAGCAGCTTGGTAAAGATGCTGTGAGTTTGTGAGATCTGCGTCCAGGCAGAGGAGGAGCAGGACTCGGAAGCGAGTGAGATGGAGGTAGCTCTGGATTAAAATTTTAGGTTACACAAAAATCATAACCTTCTTAAGTATCTTGAATTTGAAATACAGTAATTACAGAAAAAAATGTATTATTCTAAACATAACCCATAGCAATCTGGGAAAGATCTAGCTTATTATGAGAGGCTCTGTTTATAATTAAAAGATCACCCCCAAAAGAAAATACTTTTAATACATTAAAAAAGCCCTGTCATCTCTTTGTGTCACGTAGCGGCCTGTGGCTCGTGACAGCAGTGTGGCTCTGACAGTGCCTTGTGGGAGGTTGAGGCCAGGGTGCGTGGGAAGCCTGGAGCTGAACCCTGCGCTTCACCCTGTATTGGGAGGAAGCCAGGAAACAGCGCACGGATACCTAACGCAGTGCTGTTCTGGCTCTCGGCTTCTGAAAGCGTGAAACTGCTTTATGTGGGCTTCGTATTCTACTTTGCCGAAGGTATTTTATCACTGATGGCCCTCCTGAAAGACTAGCGGTCCTTGCCCTTCGGCCCGAGGGTCTCTGGCATACATGAGGAAGGGCTGAGAGCCCGGTGGGGCACTGCCCTAGTTACTCCTGAGGGTGGAGAATAAGTCAGTTCTGTTTTCATACTTTAAGGACACGTTGAGCTCAAAACTGAATGGAAAATTCAACAAACATCTCCAACCATCTTCCACGGTGCCTGAGTGGAGAGCGAAAGATAATGATCTGCGATTGCTGCTGACGAATGGGAGAATAATTAAGTATGTAGTTTGTCGTGGATTCCCCTGCTCATTTAGCCCCTAATCCGTGCTGTTGTTGCACGCTGCCGTGCAGGGAAAGTTCTCGGTTCTTCATTGGGTGAGGGAAGAGGGAGGGCGCGGGCGCACGTAGCCCCGTACAGCTTCTGACTGCCTGCTTTGCCCGTGCTGCAGGGATGAGAGGCAGCCCTTCGCAGATCAGAGTCTTTATACGGCAGACAGTGAGAGTGAAGACGATAAGGGAAGGACAAGAAAGGCCCGCGTGAAGACCGAAGCGAGCTCAGAAATAGAGGGGCCGGAAAGGGAAGAACCTCCGAAACCACTCAGCAGTACGTTTGTTGTAACGGTCTTCTCAAAGTTCTGTTCGTTATTAATGTGACAGTGGGTAAAGAAACTTGCTACTTTGAAAGTTCTTAAATTTGTATTAGGACTGAAAATACACTGTCGAAAACTCTGAAGTCTGTGTTAGCTCCCCCTCAGGGAAGTGCTGAATGCAGTGTCGCGGCCAGGGAGGTGCAGGCCAGTGAGACCCAGGTCTAGTCCAGTTTTAAAGGGTCTCATGAAAGCTCCTATCTTTTATGGCCTTATGGCCTCTACAAAATTAAGTTTCAGATGTAATGTAATTTCATATATATTTTTCGCTCCCAGGTATATGGTTTTCAGAATTAGGATATGTATGATCTGGCTGATCAGAAGCTATTAGGAAATCTATATGCTGTGACTGCCCTCGACTATTGACAAGAATGTCTCTACTGGGTCGTTAGTTGGTTGTCATCAAATGAAGTTAGCAATATCAGATGGCATACTAACTCCTCCCTCTCCTTGAGAGCTTTCTTTCTTGAGTAAAGTCTCAACTTTTCAATATTTTCAAGACCTCCATATACCCTTCCATTGTAAAAATAGTTAAAAATTTGAGTAGTTGGATGAGTAAATGTTGCAGAGGACAAATATTATTCCATCCATGTTGAATTCCTCAGTTCTAGCTAATTCCAAGAACTGTACATACCGTCCTTGTAGCTGGTTACTCTGCAGCTAGGGAAAAGGCAGCTCACCGGCAAGAACTGATGAAACACTTGCTCTGTGGCATGCAGGTAGGAGAGCTCATAGAAGCTTGCCGAACTCACGGTGTCTACGATTGCATTTAGAAGAGTTACCTTTCTGTTTTCTGTTGAGAACACTAGTACAAAAAGGAAAGGGAAAAGCATCTTACAGCTAGGGCCTCTCATGTGCTAGGCAAGTGCTTTACCACTGAGCTACACCTCCACCCCTAATTTTAGTTTTTTTTTTTCTTTTGAGACAAGGTCTTCCTATGCAGTTCAGGCTGGCCTTGAGCTCACTTTGTAGCCCATGCTGGCCTTGAACTTGCAACGATCCTCCTGCCTCAGCCTCTGCCCAGCCCTAATTTTAGTTTTCAAGTTGGTCTCTGCAAGGAAATACAGTCAGCCCACTCAAGGAATGTATAATCATACTCAGTAACTACTACAAAGGTTTCCAGAATGTACTTAAGCCTGTAACTTGGCCAATTAGGGAGAGACCTTGGGAGGAATCAAAGGGAGAGAATAATAGCAGTGTAAGAGGCGGATAGGGTGAGGAGACAGAGGCATCATGAGGCTGGGCAGACCTGAGAGATTGCCTTGTCATCTTGTTCAGCAAGTTCTGATTAATGACTGTCTTTTTCCCTCTTTCCCATCTTCATCAGGGCTTTTTACAAGTGTGAAGTCAGAACTCAGGAATAGATCATCAGAATATTCTGATATTTCTGATTCAGAAGACTCTGGACCTGATTGCACTGCACTGGTATGCTTGCAGCCCTGTGACATGTGTGTTACTTAGTGGGAAGGTGAATGCTCACGCGTCTTCACCTGGGAGGACAGCACATGACAGCTCTCCCAGAGCTCGGCTCTGACTGTGCAGCACGTGGTCTTCCTGCAGTGAAGATCGCATACACGCACCGTGCTGTACCGCTCAACAGATTAACAGGGAGAGGTGCTTCTGTGCATACTGTTGTTATGATGCACATATTTCTCACAGGTTATATTTTACCTTACAGAAAGCCTGTGCTGTGTGTTTTTAATTCAGGTAGCATGTTACTATAGTTACTAAAGATGTTCATATGAAACACAGAAGTAATTCCATGATAATTAAGATTCTGACTTTCTCTAGATGGTCTTTTTTGGATTAATCCGTACAGCGTTGGCCAGTTTCTCATATAGCTTTGTTTCCATTTAAATATTTATTATCTCAGAAAATTAATTTTACCACTGAAGAATCTGAAAGTTCAGGTGATGAAAAGAAACAAGAAGTAACATCAAACTTTAAGGAGGAATCTAATGTGATGAAGAACTTCCTTCAAAAGAGTCAGAAGCCATCTCGAAGTGAAGTTCCAGTTAGAAGGTAGGCTTATTAGTGGTAGCAGTTGTTTTAGATTTGGTGTAGGTGTTATGAAAACTGTTTCGTTTGTTTTAAATTTTACTAAATGTATCATCAGAAAAAATAAACTCTGGCCTTTTTGGCTCACCTGCCCCTTAGGGAGTGTCCTACCTCGACGAGCACAGAGGAAGAAGCTATTCAGGGCATGCTGTCCATGGCAGGGTTGCACTATTCCACATGTTTACAAAGGCAAATGCAAAGCACAGACTACAGTGGTGCAAGGACCTCTCCCGAAGACCCCAGCAGTTGCCGCAGCAGTAACCATGAGGTTAGGCAGTCGTATCGCTATGATAAACCGGTGGAATGCGGTAAGAAACATAATTTATCAGTATCTGAAAAGTAGCATGATCCCTATTACTAGTGCTGTAATTCTAGTTTAGATTAGGGTTTTATGCAAATAAGGACTGTTTATTACACATGAGATGCAGGCATCAGAAGTAAGAATGTAAATTACCTGGACTGGGAATTGTGTTCACTGGCAGAGTCCTACCACTGCTCCTGCAAGACAGTATTATTTCCCTTCCATCAGCAGCTTGACCAGGTGGAGGGATGTTCAGTCCCTTAAGTGACGTGCAAAACCAGAACATTCAACCCTTTTTCCTTTCATGAGAGAGAAAGAAAGTTTTGAGTTGTGTCTTCTTGTGGAGGGCATCCTTTCTCCTCCTTGAAGAGGAGGTGTTAGCAAAAGAGCTGACGCAGTGGCATATCAGTGATGTCACTTACTGTTTTCTTCTCTATGCCTTTGGGGAAAAATTGTTTCCCCAAAAGTCTGAGGCTTGGGGAGAAGATGCTACTATCTTAAAATCGAATGCCCGTGTAACATTCGCGTTCAGTTCTGCATGATTAGGGGTCAGCTATGTCCCGGAAACTTGATACCCACTTCACTTAATTCTTGAAACATGTATGGGCTCGCTATTGTCAGTCCCATTTTACAGGTGAAAGAAAGAAGACTTAGTGAAATTAATTTAACTTGTCTGCACTCTACACAGCTATTACCCAAAGCCGTTGGGATCTGAACCCAGAACAGTCTGATCCCAAAGTCTTTGCTTATTGTGTGAGAGGAAACTGAAGTTTGAAAAGAGTGAATAACTCGCCTGAAGTTGCGTTAGTAATGAAACAGATAAAGCTTAAATTTGGGTTTGCCTATCTTTCCAATGCTCCCATTTTGTGTTTCTGTAATATTTTCTGTTACTTAAAAGAGAAAACTTTTATGGAAATTCAGGCAAGCACCTGCCTTTATTCTATATGGGAAAATGTGCTAATGTTAGAGTAGATTGTGTTTGGTTTCCCATCAGCAACACATAGCCAGCAGGTTTGGCGCCTGGCCTCCCAGCGCCTGGCCCAAAACCTGTGTGTAAAAGACAGAGTGACGAGAAACAGCAAGTTCATTGTGAGCAGGCGATTTTTGAGAGGAAAAAGTGTAGTGAAAGTGAAGTATGTGAGGAAACATGTAAAGAGTTAATATATTTTTTAATGAAATGTCAAAATAAAACTGCTTTCAGTTTTAAGCATTAGGCTAATTTTGTTCTTTAATATCACATGTGTGCAAAGATAACTGAATTGAAACTTCTCTCTAGGATCTTATGTCAAGACTGAAGATCAAGACTTGAAGACTTCTTCTTGGATTAAACAAATTGATAGAACGTCCAGATTTAATCCTCAGGTATACTCAGAGATTGAAATTTTTTAATACTTAATTTTTTTTTTTTTTGAGAAAAGGTCTCACAGTGTAGTTTAGGCTGGCTTCAAACTTGTGATCTTCCTGCCTCAGCCTCCCAGCCCTGGCTTCAAAGGTTGAATTATTAAAAGGAGATTTGAATTGTTATTAATTTCATTTTTACTTTCTTATAAAATTATAACTGGCTATCAACTTGTAGCTCTAGGAAAGTAAAAAGTTACAATTCAATGCACATGTGAAGCACTGTGTGTTTTTAGGGATTCTGATGACTGCTGAGTGGCTCAGGCTGGAGTGTGAGCTGGACAGAGCGGCTTCCTCAGGGCAGTGGGGAAACCCGGCTGCAGGCTCCTGTAGGTTGTACCTGGTTAGAGTGAAAAGTATAAGGAGAAAACATCTCCATTTTAACCTCTGACATTGTCTCTTGAACATTCTAGGTACTAAATTTCTTTGAGGATTTAATGGAAGTTATAGATCCTCTTTCAGAAAAACGTTCATCATAAATGCTGCATTTTGGGTATGGTTGGTGCTGTCCCCACCCCTGGCTCCCTCTTGACTCCGGATTAAGAACCTTTGCTGGAAGAGAAGAAACTAGATGTCTTAGGATCCCATCATATTAATGCTCGTACCACACAAATAAACCCAAAGGGGGATTTTTTAAAAAACTAAAACGTTACCAGCAGCACCAGCCAAAGAAAATGATAGGACCTTTTGCTGCCAACCTTGGAAGGTGGGGGCCAAAGAAGGGATCAGCATTGTCACGCAGCAGAGGGGCACAGACTCCCCACCCCGAGCACATGCAGGGAAAGGAAACCAGCGGGAGCCAGCGTCCTTGGCTGCCTCTCTCTGAGGATTTGAATTTAGAATGTGTCTGAAGAAATGCTGGGGGAGAGCAAGAGGCGGGGACACGATGGCCACTCTTAAAAAAGGGCTTGGCGTGGAATTGTCACCTCGCAGCATTGGAGGATTCGGTGCTAAAATAAGCTCTGTGGATGTTGTTTCTGCAGTTGTCTGACAGTGAAGAAGCAGAGCACATGTGATTAGTGGGGTCACAGCCCAGAAAACTAAATTTCTTTTGCCTGTGATCGAGAGAGAGTAAGGGTGGCGGGTACATCAGCACTTGTTTGTTGCTGCGCATGAATATTTATTTGCAAGACTAATTTAAACGAAGTCTATGTTTAATACTGGTTTTGAAACTGATTATGACAGATGTGTTTATGTCTGTCTGTCACACACAAGTTCAGCTAGTTTAATGGACCATCATATCACAGTGTGCTTTATTCGAATCTAGTCTCTCTCTTATTTTTTGGCAGTGCTAGGGATTGAATCCAGGGCCTCATGCATGGAAGTGCTGTACCCCTGAGCTACATCCTCAGTTCCTAATCCTATCCTTTTTTAATTCTGGTCATGACCTATAAGTTCAAGACTCATCCATCAGGAGGGTTTTTTTCCCCTGAAATTGGACTAAGTAGTCTTAGGAGACTGAAAAAGGAGTATCATTTCAAGAAATCTCAAACTTGGGGCTGGGTGTGGTGGCACACGCATGTAATCCCAGCACTTGGGAGGCTGAGGCAGGAAAGTTGACATGAGTTCAAGGCCACCCTGGGCTACATAGTGAGTTCAAGGCCAGCCTGAACTACAGCGAAACTGTTTCAAAAAACAAAACAAAACAAAAAGAAAAAAAAAAGAAAAAAGAAAACAAATCAGGCTTGAGGCTCTGTTCTGGGGATTTTTCTAGCAAATGAATACAGTGTAGCTGAACCTTACAGAGGCTGTAAACGAGCTAGCAGGTTGTACCAGGGGAGGTGTGTGGGAGCTGTGAGGTGCCTTCCATGCAGGGGGAATGGCAGGAAGGGTACCTTTGCTTGTTTAAGTTATTGTCTCTCCCTTTTTGTTCTTAAGTTACGATGTAACTTTAAGAGCTGAGTTCTTCTAGACGCTTAGGTTTACTGTGGACTGGTAGGATGTCATAAAAGGTGGTCTGTAGCTAATCCATGTTCGGAAAACCGAAATTCAGAGTTACTGACTTTCTCTCTTGACTTTGCTAATGTACAGAGAGCTTAAATATGCATTAAGCTCTAAAAATTCAGCTTCATTTCCTTACTTCCTCAGGATCTAAGCAGAAGCCAGAAATGCATCAAAAAGGAAGGTTCATCAGAAACAAGTCAAAAGGTGCAAAGCAGAAACTGTATGGACAGCGGTGGCGCAGGCCTTCCGAGTGGAAAGTACACACAGAATTCTGGCGTGGTTGCAGGCGTGTGCCAGATAAACAGTGGCAGCCTGAGCCCCGAGAGGCCAGCCGGTGAACCCTCCTTTTCAGTGCCCCTGCACCCCACCAAGCGACCTGCGTCAAATCCACCACCTATCAGCAACCAGGCAACTAAAGGTAACTGGGATCTACCTGCGGATCAAGTCTTTTCTTGATGCGCGATGGCAGTGCAGTCTCTGTGCCCCAGTTGCTTGGCATCTTGTGCACACTGGATGGCCTTCTAACAGCAGTGTGCACCACCTACTAGGGCGCCAAGCTGGAGGATGCCCAGATCAGCCCTGAGGGTCCGGAATGGCTTCCTGGGGCTCAGGAGGAGGGGGAGCGTGGAACGGGATGGTAAGGCGTGAGCCCTGACAGAACAGGTAGCAGGCAAAGCAGAGTGTGGACCGCAGGCTCAGAGGAGATAAAGCTGCAGTCCTGCGTGTTGCTGAAGCATTGTGTGTGCGGCCCGCTCCACTGCTGGTGCGAGCGTAAGGAGGGGTTTCTCACAGTGGCTGTCCAGAAATACAGCTTGGGTGTGCAGAACGCTACACAGGCTTCCTTCCCAAATCTTCTTGGTGCTGCCTGGAGGGTACGCTTTGCATGATTACTTACCATGGCGTTATGTTTTCTAGGCAAACGCCCAAAAAAAGGAATGGCAACAGCCAAACAGCGTCTTGGGAAGATCCTTAAGTTGAACAGAAATGGCCACGCGCGCTTCTTTGTGTGACAGAGCTGCTGTGGCAGCTGCGCCTCCCTTTGGAGCAGCCTGGGGCGGGAGCCCGGAGCTTCTGCCACCCCTGCCTGGAGCAGCTGGCGTGGACAGTAGGAACACTGCCCGAAGAGCAGAGGGACCCTGCTGCTGCGTCTTCACTGTGCCACACCCACTCAGCAATAACTCTGGACCTGGTGGGAGAGGGAGGAGGGGGTAGAACCTTAAAAAGAGACCTTGAACTGGAAAGGGTCTCTTGTCAGGGCTTGAATTTCATTTTGTTGGTAGTGTCTTGATTTATTTTCAGTAGTAGGGTAAAGAATTATCAATAATTTATTTAACAGATTTTTTTTAAAGTTAACAGCTTTTAAATTCTTTCTTTTTTAAAGCTATTTATTTGGAAGATTTCTGGAGAAATATCTCACTAATTTAGATTTAAGAATGTGAAGGTTTTTAAATTATTTTTGATAGTGTGTGTGTTACATGTGGGGAGAGCCACGGTAACAGTAACTAGTCTGGACTCTTAAATTTGATATTCAGGTTAAAGTCTTAAACAGGGATTTGATGCATTAATTATTTTAAATTAAGATGTATATGAAAATCATTTTATTTTATATATTTCATGTGTTTTTTATAAGCTATTAGCTTCGCTTTTGCTAACATCCAAGGTGCATACTGTTATCCAGGTTGATTCCCTTACACCCGCTTCCCTCTGCACCCCTCATTTTGTGATGACCCGACAAGACTCTTCTCTTTGCAGGGAAACACTTGCATAGCCAATGCATAAGAGCTCCGTAAAAGACCCCTCGTCCCTCATTTCCTTTGACATTGTGGTTTTCTTCTGAATATAGGGAAATAGGCTTCTTCTTGCATTTTCATTTTTGCTGATGATATCTGGGTCCCAAAGAGAACAGCTTTAATATCTTCTTCCTACTTGTGGGGAAAGTATTATAAGTTTGGTTAAATGTCATGTTTCTAGTTTTTTTCAAGTACATTGTAAGTACAGAGGGCCTTTCTCATACCACTGGTATTGGAGGACAGGGCCAGCACCTGCTGCAAGGGTTGTATCTTTTGATGCTTTTATTTGCTAACCCTAATATGTTGAGAATGATTTGATTTAGGATATTCAAATCTGCATAATAAGCCGTAATATAATAGGATTATACTATCTTAAGTTGTATAGAAGCAAGCATGTTGGAATAGATCTTGTGTGTGTATGTGTTTACTTTTTTATTTCTTAACATTTTAAGGAATTACTCATAAGGAGTTGGAGTAAAATGGGTGCTCTTTGCATTTATTTCCGTCTAAACTTGGCCAGTGCATATTGAGGTTAAATATCTGGTTGAATTTTAAAGTAATCATTTATGTCCTTTATGCACAATTTTTAGTGAATGTCAGGTTTTGGTTGCTTATAAGAGTTTTTGTTTTCCCTTTTCCCTCTCATGGTATAAAAGTAAATGATTGTTGAGGGTGAGGTGGAAATATTCCCAAGTCTGAATATACAGCATTTTACAAATTCCTACAAAGACAATACAAGCAAACAGAATGAAATTTATTTTTATGGAGAACAAATGTGGCTATATAATGCATTTGTCTTTTTATTTTTAACTTGGGATTTTCTGTCTGTATTAAAGATCACTTAAATTGTTAAGAAAAAAGAATCTATACCATCATCTTTCATGGTTGTATTCAAATGTATATTTCCAAAGAGGAACACTTCTTATTGTCTTTTCCCGTGTTTCATGAGACAACTATGAAAGAGCTAATGAGATAGCCATTTTGGTCCAGAAGTCTGAATTTTATTTGGGTGTCAGGAAGAAGAACTTCATGGAAATCTTCAGTATCTGTGAACGGCCTACTTAAGCCCTGTCTACATGATGCTGTAACTAGTGCAGAAATGGATACATTCAGCCCAGGTGCAGTTATCTAGGTTTGACTGATGCCCTAACCTTCCTGCATAATATATCACTGTGATGTCTTGGTTTTCTGTAGACCCTGTTCTAATGGGTCTACAGTGGTCCATAGTGGGATTAAGAAAGAAGAAGTATAATTTCTTTCTCCAGTGCCATCATGATCTGGATTTTTTCTTTATATTTTTCACAACTCAAGTATTTTTAATTACTTTTTTCTTAGCTATATAACTAAAACAATTTATTTTTATGAATTAAAATTTTGGCTGGTATCCATCTTGTGTCCTAAAGCTGATAAAACACTACTTTTGAGTATCTAGTATGTGGAATTTTAAGTGAAAGTATTGTGGATTCATTGTTGGCAGTTTTAATTCATTAACTGGTTAAGATACAAAACTTTCAGCAACCACTATAAGAAAATATATGTGTCTTTTTCTGGATTGGGAAAACTTCAGCCACTGATCCAGTGACTTCTAATCAAACCTCTGACAAAGGTACCTGCGGTGGTGCCTCCCTTTATCTCATGGAACTGGCTGGACTTTTAGGTAACTACTGCCAGTAACTGGGCTCAGCTGTAATACACAACCTTTTGTCTTTTCCTTAGTCTCACTTACAAACTGTACATCGCAACTTAGGAAAACTGCAGTGGTAACATTTACCTAGTCATAAGCAAATACAAGTATGTAGAATTGAAAAATAATAATATAATGTATGCAGCTTTTCATAGTAATAGTAGTTTCCCTATTGATTCAAATGAGTGACTCAACCCTGGATCCTCTGTACTGTAATTCACAGTGTCCCATAATGTTATGCTCCCTGGTACTGATGAATGATGTAAACAATATAAGGTTAGCAGTTCATAGTACAGTTCAGCATCCTAGAAATACCTGGAACCTCATAAATACCAGTTTATCTTTGAAGCATAAAACATTGACTGTTCTGACTGAAACTAGAACTCAGAGAGGAGACAAGCCCACGTTTATCAGTAATTACTTAGCTCGAATACTGTTCTATTTTTCTAGTAATCCTAATGATTGCCTTTTTAAACGTACTCTGGTGTCTTTACTCCTATGAGACAGCAGGTGTTTACCAGACATGTACTGCGTCCCCAGCACTAGGTAGTGCTGTAGTTGCAGTTCTGGTCTCTGCCTATGAAAGGCTTCTCCAAGAAGTTAGCAGTATTATTTTTACTTCTAAGCAAACTTCAGCAGAACAGAGCCTATTTATATAAAAAAAAAGCATCACTTGATTAGTTTCACTTGAAATATACCACTGAAGAAGTAGAAATAAAAATGATTTAAGTTCTTTAAATTTTAAGAAACATTTCAAAAGTTAGTAACTTAATGTCAGTGACATGAGGATATGCTTTAGCATGGAAGAAAAAAAAAGACACAAGTTTTGATCTGATCTACCATTTATGTGTCAGTTGTGTAACCTGTATGCAACTTGTGTCACTCTTTCTGGGCCTTAGTTTCCTTATTTTTAAGTTTGGATAAAACTGCTTATTTTACTATCCAGTGAAGAAAAGCATTTCTTAATCTATTAACTCTTCATAGTTATGTAGACTCTATCATTAAAACTGATGAGTGCGCCTTTATATACATTTTAAGTGAAAACTGCTATTACTTGTAAAACGTATTTCATATCAAATATATATGCAAGGCATGCTACCTAAAAATCTGATGAATCTCTAACAAGGTGCTGAATTGAAGTCAGATTCCACACTTCAAGTAAAAGAAGTGAGTTAGTGTATGGATAGTGAGTGGGAATGTTCATCATCAAATACATGAGCATGATTCAGAGTAACTGAAAGATACCTGTAGATCTTTCTCAAAGAGAAGTTAGGATGGTGCTGCTCCTCAGATTTGGCATATTCTTCAGGTCCTAAATATGGTGAAGTCAGTTGTGGAACAAATGAGATTGATTAAACAGCCACTCACGAGACGAGGTAAAAACAGAGTGGTCAGAAAAATGGGACTCCATGGAGATAGTTCTGGGATGGGTGACAGAAGCCTAGGCGGAGAGAGCTCCCTGAAGCAGCGGAGGGAAGGGGACTCAGGGTCACTCCCTGAGAGTAACCCACTGTGCAGCTGCTGGAAGTGAATGTTCTAGCAATGAGTGTAGTTTTCATGCAGAGAGATAGGGCCTTCATAATGTAAATCTAAACATTTGTGACAGTTTGTCTTTTTCCTTAAATACTAACCTAATCACTTCCATGTAAAGAGAAGCTCTTGCCTGGCAGGCAGAGGCCCTGGATCTGAACCCCAGCGTGGAGTGGAGTGAGTGGAGCCCCAGTCTCTTTATGAGCTACTTCTTCACCAGAAGCAATCTTGAGGCTAAGCATCACAACCTTTAGCCTAGGGAAAGCAGGTGAATGAAGTGTAAGCCAAATAGGGCATTGATTTGCCTGAGGACACAGTGGACCAGGACCTCTGATGTCTTGCTTCCTAGGACAGCGCCGTTACGTGATGCTGCCGCCTCTGCCTGTCATGTAGTGGACATGGCCATGTGCTTCCTTGAAGGCAGGTGCAAAACGGCAGCGTTCCTACACTCACTATATCGTTGCTGAACATAATGTAATCTTAATCCTATATAGCCTTACTAAAAACCCTCCCTTTAGTTTTTCAGTGATTATACCGTAAGTCAAATACTTGATATGCTTTACATAAATACTTCTTAACAGTTAATATCCTTAAGAAGCAAATGCCCATTTCCAAAGCAATTAATTTATTGTGATTGACTGGTTTTATTCTTCTGTAGTCGTCTCTCCCTCTTCACTGGGGAGGAGAGAATGATTAGTCCCTTGCGTTAGATTCTTCCTCTCACCTCGGTGCCCCTCTAGTGTCTTAAGGCTTTGTCTGAACAAGTGCAGCCTTACATTTTTTGTTCAGACCTTTTTCAAACTATTCAGTGATTCTTCCAACAAGCTCATCTGCTCTGCACTATTTCACTAATGAACCCTGGCTACCACGTAGCCCTTGACCTCCAAGTAGTTTACCTATGCAAGACCCATGAGAGTCTGAATTCACTTCGCTTTATTTCAGGAAGCAGTCATACACAGAACTTAATCACAGAAAACTTGTTTTCAACAGTTTTATTTTGGTCATTTCCTCTTCAGTATGTCAGCTGTTTTCCCCCAAGATTTTTCACCAAAACAGTGATCATAAGTGCTAGAATATATAATGTTTTGCAGGAGTAAAATAACCCAGACATACCTACTCATATTTCTTTGATGCATTTTGGTTGGTAAAAATTACCAGCATTAAATATAAATCTATAGTAAGGAGTTGATTCCTTGCCTAGAGTCATTTTTCCTCTGAGATTCGTAAGTAACATTTTATTTTTACAAACCATACATCCAACTTCCACATTTTAGTCAGGGACCTAAGGTGTAACTTGCTAAGTGAACCCCAAGGTTATTTTATCTTGCAAAAGAAACCTAAACCAAACTAAGGGCCTTACAGTTTATGGTTAGACTGAATCAAAAGCTATAACCTCAGTTTTTCCAAAAACAGCTTCTGACTGCGAAAGCAAGTCACGCAGTTGTTAGGTGTGAAATAGCACTGATCTGGAAATGCGCGTGCATCCTCGCAGGCCGTGTTTCCCTCAGTAAAGACTTTTCTACTTTTAATATAAATTAAGCCATAACAGTTTCATGCTGTGGAAAGAGGGTGAAAAGGTTCATGTTAAGAGATTATATAATATGAATTTTCACATTACTGTGAAATGTCTAACTTTACCAGTGCTTCAGCAAGTTTTCTTTTGGGGGGCTGTTGGAGGGTGGTAGTGGTGGGGAGGGGGAGTATTGGTTTTAGGGGTTTTAACTGTGAAATTTGAAAAGGGGACAGTTGTTGGCTATGGTATTTACTAGTTTTGTAGTAACGTTTTGCTAGCCTGACTGACTTTCCTTACTGGTCTTTATGCCCATGGTCCCAGGTGACTGTTGCCTTCTCGTCGGGGGTGTCTGTGGGGTGGTGTCTTGTCTGTGTAGGCCGCCAGTGTGTGTGCACATGTGTGTCCTTTGCGTACAGAAGCACACGTGTGGCAGTGGAACGGGGTGTGGCTGGGGAGTGGGATGCAGAAGCTTTAAGAGCATTTTTTTCTGATTCATGACAGTATTTCCCATCTTTTGCCTGCAGGCAGGGAAAGTGTACAGTATTTATTTTGTTTCTGTTTTACTCTGAATTTGTAAGTCTTTAAGTAGCTTACATTGATTATTATAGGGGAAGACAAATGACTTGTTTAAAGTTGTATTTAGTATTCTTTTCAATTTCTGTACTTTAAAATATTGAAATTAAAATTGTATTACTTCTGTTTTGATTTTCCTAGCACTCAGTGTATTTTTTGCTCATTTTGTTTGAAAGTATTAATGTTGAAAGTTGTACAAAATGTGTCTCTGAAAGAAAAAAATCTGAATTCTATATCCAGTTCTGACTTTCTGCTCCCTTTTTCTGCTTGTTAAATCTCGGGAAATTGTTCGGGAATGCGAAAAGCCGTGTTCCGCCCCTCACCACTTGAGCTTGAGAAGCAATGTGCGGTCTTGTTCCATGAGCTGTACTGCTGGGGGGAGTGACGGCCGAAAGAGAGACACAGCAGGGGGTTGGTAAGGTGAGGCTGTGACGTGGAGATGCGTGGGTGAGCTTGTGCACCAGGCACTCTGCTAGTGCCAGTGTGCATAGCAAGCACAGTCAAGCCCAGGCCATGGGGCTTGTGCACCTTGGAAAGGGCAAAGGCGTGGGAGGCTGAGGCAGGAGGATCGTACCTTCAAGCTCAGTGTGAGCAACTTAGTGAGACCCTGTCTAAAAAAATAAAAGGCAGGGATGCAGCCCTGCGTTCAGTCCCCAGTATCACAGGTGTGTGCTATGTGGTGGGGGGAACAGGACGAGGAGCTGTCATGGCCCAGCTGCCGGGGGAGGCGAAGAACACAAGTGAACACTGAGTGAGCAGGGGGCCCGAGTTCTGGACACAGGTCTGAGACAGACGAGGGAGGAGATGGGTGAGGCTCAGCTGGTCTGGGGAGTGGGGTGTGGGGCCTGGGCCACGGAGGAACGCGGGCAGCCAGCACTCCCCGGGCTGCCAGGAAGGCTCGGAGGGAGACGGGAAGTGGTCGGGGCTCTGGAGGAGACCTCAACCTCGTGGGAGCCGGGCAGCAGAAGTCCCGGACACTGCAGCTCGTCCCTCCGCAGCCCCACGTGAGAGTAGGGATGCCAGAGCCCTGCAGCTGCCCTTGTGGCATTGCCAGGACAGCTGGCACCTCCGCTTTCTTCCCAGCCACCTGCTGGCGTACGTGTGACGGAAACCTCGGCCAAACAGTCTGCTTTCTCAAGAAACTGCGCACGCTAGGTGTGTCGGTCGCGACGTCTCGGCGCTCCTGTTCTATGGAAGTGAGGGGCGTCAGCACCTGCTTGCCCGACACTCGGCCTGGGTCTGTGTCCCGCCAGCAGCAGCGTGCTGCCCAACGCTCCTGGTGTTAGGTGAAGAGCCGGGTCACGGTCTGGCCCAGCAGCCCTCACCATGTGTGCTTTATTCCACTTTGCCCTGACTAAGTACAGGTTCTTCCTCCCAGCCCCCAGTGAGGGAGGCCCTGCTTTCTCCGTCCCGCAGGAGAAAGAGGCGCAGTGTGTAAAGGACGCACGGGTCCAGGCTCACCTACTAATAGCACGTGGAACTGAGATTTTGACCGGAAGTCTGTCCCGTTCCGATGTCAAGTGGCAGAAGAGATGGCCCTTAGGACTGGCTTGTGTTCCAAACATTTCTTGGTGGGCACCACCCGTTTAGATTGAGAATACGTTTTCTTACAGAAGTCTTCTGTCTCTCTGAGTCTGCGCTGCCCTGGAAGCTGGGCGCACTGTGAGGTCCTCTCGCCTGCCTTCCGGTGGAGAGTGCGGCGGTGAGCAGATGGCGACTTCCAGCGCCGGCCGTGGCCCCGAGGGCCACGCAGCAGCCCCTCCTCTCCCGCCTTCCCACGCTGAAGCTGGCACCTGCCACCGTTCTGCACCCCTCAGCTCTATAAGTGGGTCAGCCCAGGCTGGGAGGAGGAAAGCCCGCCGTTCTCGGGTGCTGAGGCCTCTCCTGGAGCCGGGCCATCCACGTCCTCCTGTCTGCCCTCTGGGCTCTCATGATCCCGTCCCTTCCCGGTCTAGGCTCCTCTCAACCTCTGTCCCCAGCCTCTGTGTGTTACTTAGCTTCTCATCCCTGGGACGCAACACCCAACACACAACTCAAAGGAGCAGAAGTGAATTAGACTCAGGGTTTCGGGAAATGTCCCTCTGTGCTCGATTGGCTCTAAGAGAAGCATCCTGGGGGGGTGTGGCAGAGCAAATACGTTCAGTTCATGGCAGCCGGGACGCAAGCAGGGGAACAGTGCAGAGAGAAGGGGCCAGCGGCAGAGCACTCAAAGTCACACCTCCGTGACCACCCAGACACACCCAGAAGTGTGCTGTACTATTCCCTGGGTGCCGCTTAATCCAGTCAAGCTGATAACAGTGACGCCATCACACTAAAAATGCTAATTCTGACATGTTGTAAATTCATATTCCTCCTAGGCAGAAATTGAAAGGCAGGGGCCGGGGGAGACTTCAACAAGTAGAAAACTCTGTGTGTACATTCCAAAGTTTTATCTTTTTAAGGCAAGTTTAACCTGGGACACAGATTCCTATTACAGTAGGACCCAGGGTTTGCCTCTGTCTTGCACACTTATCCTGAAGTAGGAAGCTAGGAGCTGCCCCGCTGTTCCTTGTCCGCTTCACACACCACCTTCCTCTTGCCTGTCACGGGACACGCTGCGGGGCTGTGCTGACCCAGGCACTTAGTAGGACCTCCAGCTTCGGTTTCCCTGCCCAGCTGCTTGTCTGCAGATTTTGCTCTTACCCTTTTGGACCAGCCCAGTCTCCTCTTCACATCCCTCCCACAGCCCCAGGGAACTGACTCGACCCACTGAGAGACAGAGACAGAGCTTGTAGCTGGCCACGTTCCTCCATATCCTACGGAGTCTGAGCCAGAAGCTGCTCTTACAGCATGCCTGGCGTTATCCCGGGCCTCCTCGGTCTTTCTGTGTGCAAGACCCCGCCTACTTCCCTTCTCTGGACCCTGCTGTGTACACCAGGGCCAGGTGAGGGCGAGTGAGACTTGTATCTGTGACTATCCTTTTGATCTTGTGACTGCTTCGTGCACACGGTACTGGGGCTAAGAGCACAGACTGAAGCCAGAGTTAAGTGGGTAAATCCTGACTCTGCCACTTAACGCACCAGTCTTGAACCAATTATATAACTTGCTGTGCCTTGGTGAACTTTTATAATAAAGGAAATAAAATACTTTTATAATGAATGAAAACAAAACAAATGAAAACATACAGTGTACTTTATAATAAATGAAAACATACGGCGCACTCAGGACAGTACCTGGCATAAGTAGACACCAACTGTTGGCCATCAGAACAATGTCCCAGGCTTCCAAGGCTGTGTACGGTGCCATTGAGTTTGACTAGGTGCCACCTAATATGTTTGCCTGTTATTGCCATCAAGATGAGGCAGAGATAGCTGGGTGTGGTGGCACACGCCTGTAATCGCAGCACTCGGGAGGCTGAGGCAGGAAGATCATTGCGAGTTCGAGGCCAGCCTGGGCTACAAAGTGAGCCCAAAGTTAGCCTGAACTGCATAGCAAGACCTTGTCTCAAAAAGACAAAACAAAACAAAAAAAAAGGTGAGGCAGAGCAGTTGCTTAAGGAGATAGAATCCTATTGGAGTAGGAAGCTGGAGCCCACACATATGCCCTGGGAATGTGCAGAAATCCTAGGACACGGGCCTGGGAACCTGAGACATACCACGGTTTCTGGAATAATGCACGCCAGGTTGTTGGCACTGGCTGGTTACTTCAGGGAGAAGGGAACACAGCTGGGGAGAGTATTGAGGTTGGAGACTTCTATATACTTTAGTGTTACAGGTTTTTAAAAATTCAAGTAACATCAGTTTTGTACTTGAAAAAAGACTAGAGAGCTCTGTGAGGTGTGGCGCGGCTGCCCCAGGACACTGATTCTGCACGCACACCTGTGCAGAGGCCGTGGGAAGTCGGGCCCCCTGCCCCTGCAAGGCCATGGGGTAGCTCAGTGCTGGGAGTGGACACAGAGGACATCCCCGCCCCCTCACCTCGCTGCCCTGCTCACTCTTGCCTGATTTTCCATGCTTCGGCTCTCCATCCTACCCACCCAAGTTTAGGGCTAGGCCTTGGTATTATTAATCTCTCTCAGCGCCTCTCGGAGTTCAGAGCAAATCCTGCCGAAAACACACAGACTAAACTCATGAACATGACAGATCACCCTGGCCTCCTCCTTGCCCCACCTCCCTTCAACATCTCTTATCTTAGTTCACCTTCTGTTGGTGGCTGCCGCCAAGCACAGCCTCACTTTCGTGTCAGTGTAGATCTTAGGACCAAGATCAAACTCCCTGATGTGTGGGTCAGCCAGAAGCAGGTTCAGCTTCAGGGCAGAGAACCCAGAACAGACCTGGCTTAGAAGCCTGGAGATGGGCATTACACGAAGGGAAGATGGCTCCGCAGAGTTATCCAAGAGTCAGACCTGTGCTCTCTTGTGACCCTGCCACTTCAGCAAACAGCTGCCACCTCTTGACCCAAGATGAAGCAGGGGGAGGAAGGGTGAACCTATAATCACTTCATTGTTTATTTATTTAGGTTTTTTGAGACAGGGTCTTACTAAGTTGCCCGGGCTGACCTTGAACTCACAATTCTGCCTCAGCCTCCTAACTGCAGGCTTTATAGATGGCACCACCATGCCCAGCAGATTTCTTTTTGCTACTGCTGCTTTTGTTATTGCTGGATATTGGACCCCAGGCCTTTTGCATGCTAAACCTTTTTTTTTCTTGTACTGGGAATCGAACTCAGGACCTTGTGCTTGCCAGGCAGGTGCTTATGCTGCTGAGCTATATCCCCGGCCCTGAGCTATATCCCCGGCCTTGCATGCTAAACCTATGCTGTGCTGTGTGCTCCCCACTACACCCCAACCCCAAGTTCTTTATTCTCAAGAGGCTTAAAGCCTGGACCTTGGAAACCAGAAGATTTGAGCACGTTAATGTCTGGTGGCCTTGGCAAGCAACTTTCCCTCTTGATGGAGCCTCAGTCTTTCCAGCTCTAATATAGGCATAATAGTAACTTCTAAATAGGGCTTATGCCCTACTGTAGAACAGCTGTAACAAAGGAATATATGAAAGGACAATTTCATGAAAACTGAAGCATGGTGTGGATCCAAACATGAAAAACTGCTGAAATTACCCACCTAGATACTGCAGATCAAAGTTAAGTTGAAGCTGGAATTGCTTCTGCTTGTCCTTGAAGAACTTGCGAAGACTCTGTCCCTATGTAGAAGGCTAGGACAGGAGGTTCTGCAGACGTCAGGCCTCTGTAGAGCAGC